GTAGGTATGGTCGTATGTGCTAGATGTAGCTGTTATTTTTATATGTATCTGGACATTCATCGAGAAAAAAAACGTCAACTATACAGCTGGACGAAACTGCTAGACTAATCTATGGGGACCGCCCAGACAAGTCATGCCCAACCTCAACTGTGTAAATCATTGAGATTGCATAAAAGCCCACCTGCAATGCTGTCTAGCGGCCGAATTGTAACTTCAACATTTCCGTGCTCTAAGACGCCTTGCCAGAAGGAATGAGGATGTTGTTGGTCTGTATAGATCGGATCTCCTGTTCACGTTTCGATGTTGGATACCCTACAGTCAAAACAATAAATTACAAATGAACCTCGAATTCGGCCGAAATTTCCTGGTAACACCAAAATCCCGGGTCAATAAATGAATGTCTTAACATGTTTATGTAGCATGTGAAAAATGTAGATACCAAGACTTTGTAATCAATGCTATCTCACTAATAGATACCGTTTCTCCATAATGGGCAGGCAAGAAGATGGGGAGACTCCATTATAAACTTCAACGTTGACTAGCGACCGATAACGTTGGAGGCTCTTTGCTTATATGCATGAGCCATGCAGATCCGACTTGGCAAAGAAAGCCCTGGCTCAGGAGTGCTTACCAATACGAAACAGACTTCTCAACAACATTTCACCGACGGCAGAGCAAATTATGATGACTCTTGCGGGGTGAGCACCCACAGTAAATATGCCACCTGCTGAGTGAGTGGCAATATCGATGGCAATGGCAAATAATACTGTATCGTCTTCGATTGAAGGCTATAGAATCTCAGGAACCCGGCGTTTAGGCGTATTGATAATTAGAGCTGTATGACACTACAATTATTCATCTTTTAGCAAGTTTTCAATTGGTGGTGAAAAGCCTTGAGGACGCTAAAACCCGATTGATTACGCTGTATGTCCGAAAGATCTGCAGTCATTGTGCCGTAAGATAGCAGTTGCTTGAGTCCGGTAAAGTGAAAAGTATGGGGCGTTATCTCGGATTTTGAGTCAGATCCAGCCACTCCAGAAACTCCATAACGTTACATAGCACTAGTTTGGCGATTCCGATTAGCCAAGGGGTTCAGGTCTGACTTAGGGAGATGAGATTCGGAAACAAGAGCTAAACTCCATTTCTCAGCAATTTGGAAACGCAATGAGGGTCCACGGATGAGTGCATAGAATCCACTCGCTAACTAAGCTTCCGGAGAAGTGACAGAAAAGAATAGAACCTCTATAGGTACAATAGTGAGGCTGTTATTTTGGACTGTGCTCGTCTAAATCCCTTCCCATCTCCCCTAGTGTATATCAGACGCAGACACCTTTACGTCACCATGGATCGCGCAGAAAAAAAAATATGCATCTCCAGAGTAAACTAAAGTAGATGTCATTATAAATACATTTCCCTCAATGTTGTCGGGGTTGGGTTGCTGCATCCTTAACCAAAGTATTAGTAGTCAGTCAGGTCAGTGCTACTGCTACTGCGACGTTCCTGCCTGCCCTGCGACCTTGGTGAAGCTTATCTTCACCGGTCTTTCCTCTTTCATTTTCTGTTGAACCAATTGAAAGGATATCTTTAGCGATAACTATTTATCTTATTCATATATCAAGGCATTGGCCTCTGAAACGCGTCCTTCTTTTTCTGCAACTATCTCTCCCTCTTTGCCACTTCCCTTCTTATCATCGCCGTCAACATGTTAGGAAATACAGTAGACGGCGATGCTCTTCGCCGCACCCAATCATCGATGCACCATCAGCAACAACCTATATCACAACAGACAGTCGAGGGTGGACAACAAACCACTTCAAGCAGCAACTCCTCTGATACAGGTGTCGTGCAAGAAGGAAAATGGGGCGAACGCGGACAAGAAGATGTCACTTCGCAAGAAGCGATGCAAGAATTCGAATCTCTACGGCACAATTTGATGAGCTTGCACAAGACAAGAACCACAGAAACTCACGCCAGCAGAGCAAACGCGAGTAGAAGAGCAAGCAATGCTGCTCGAGTTGCTTCATCAAAGCATCATGTTGATGATGACGAGTCGAAAACCGACGTTGAAGCTGGCCCCGAAGAGAGTGAAGGATTCGAGCTGGGCCGATTTATGCGAGAAGGTCATTTCGAAAAGCGATCTGAGGAAGAAGGTTCCTTGAAGCGAGTTGGAGTTGTCTACGAGAACTTGACTGTCAAAGGTGTTGGCAGTACAACATCTTTCGTTCGAACTGTCCCTGACGCCATTCTTGGCACATTCGGCCCCGACCTCTACAGGATAGTCTCTCGATACATCCCATCGCTCCGTGTCGGAAAATCACCAACCCGAACACTGATCAACGACTTCACCGGCTGTGTTCGGGATGGTGAGATGATGCTTGTCCTAGGACGACCTGGCGCTGGCTGCAGTACATTTCTCAAGGCCATCAGCAACAACCGCGAGTCTTATGCCGCCGTCGAAGGAGAAGTATCCTACAGTGGCATTTCTGCGGCCGATCAGAAGAAGCACTACCGCGGAGAGGTCAACTACAATGGTGAAGACGATATCCATTTTGCTTCTCTAAGCGTATGGAAGACTCTTGCCTTTGCCCTCAAGAACAAGACCAAGGTCAAGGAGAAGGCCGATATTCCCGTCATCGTGGATGCCCTCTTGAAAATGTTTGGCATCAGCCACACAAGAGGTACCGTTGTCGGCGATGAATACACTCGAGGTGTTTCTGGAGGTGAACGAAAGCGTGTCTCCATTGCAGAGACATTAGCATCCAAGTCTACTGTTATCGCATGGGACAACTCTACCCGAGGATTAGATGCATCGACCGCCCTCGATTACGCGCGATCGCTTCGCATTATGACCGACATCAGCAACCGAACCACTCTCGTCACTTTGTATCAGGCTGGCGAAGGCATCTACGAGCTGATGGACAAGGTTTTGGTAATCGACCAGGGCCGCCAGATCTTCTCTGGCCCTGCCAATAAGGCTAAGCAGTATTTCATCGACCTTGGCTTCGAATGCCCCGAGCGACAGACAACTGCCGACTTCTTAACCGCCATCACCGACCCGACCGAGCGACGCTTTAGACCTGGTTTTGAGCACCGCGCTCCTCGAACACCCGAAGAACTAGAATCAGCATTCCGAAACTCACCAAACTACCAGGAGCTCCTGGCTGACGTTGCAGCTTACAAGGAGTCGCTGCACCAGTCGGATTATCAAGATGCGAAGAGGTTCCAGGGTGCTGTTCAGGAGTCCAAGTCAAAGCATGTCTCAAACAAGTCCCCCTACACAATCTCGTTCCCCCGACAAGTTCTTGCATGCACCAAACGAGAGGCCTGGCTGCTGTTTGGTGACACCACGACTCTTTGGACTAAGCTTTTCATCATTATCTCGAACGGTCTTATTGTTGGATCTCTCTTCTACGGACAATCTGAAGATACTGAAAGTACTTTCAGCCGTGGCGGTACCATCTTCTTCTCGATTCTTTTCCTTGGTTGGCTTCAACTCTCTGAGCTGATGAAGGCTGTTTCTGGGCGTGCTGTCGTTGCTCGTCACCATGACTATGCCTTCTATCGCCCGTCCGCGGTTTCTCTCGCTCGAGTCCTACTTGACTTCCCTGTTGTCGGTGTCCAAGTTTGCATCTTTGGTCTCATCATGTACTTCATGACAGGACTCGATGTCGATGTTTCGAAGTTCTGGATCTATTTGTTGTTTGTCTATACCACGACTATGATGATTACGGCACTGTACCGCATGTTTGCCAGTTTATCCCCTGAGATCGACACCGCTGTCCGATTCTCTGGCATTTCACTGAATCTTCTCGTCATTTACACTGGATACGTTATTCCCAAAACCCAGCTTTTGAAAGATTACATCTGGTTTGGTTGGATATACTGGATAAATCCCATCAGCTACAGTTTTGAGGCTGTCTTGACCAATGAACTGTCTAACAGGCAAATGGAATGCGCACCATCTCAAATTGTTCCCCAGGGCCCAGGGGCTCAGTCCGGATACCAAGGTTGTGCTGTCAGTGGCGCATCTGTCAACGCACAGTCAGTTTCTGGAAGCGACTATCTTCAAGCAGCATACAACTACAGCCGCTCGAATCTCTGGCGAAACTTTGGCGTCGTCATTGCTTTTGCCGTTCTCTACATCATCGTTACGGTCGTGGCCACGGAGTTGGTCAGCTTTACCGAAGGTGGCAGTGGTGCCCTGATCTTCAAGAAGAGTCGTAAGGCCAAGGAGCAAGCTCGTGAAGCTGAGGCACCTGTTGATGACGAGAAGACTGTTGGAAATGGCGCCAGTAACTCTTCCGGTGTTGTGTCTGATCCCAATCCAGGCAGTGAGGAAGAAGCTTTGGAGCAAATCACAGACAGCGAGTCTATTTTCACATGGCGAGATATTGAGTACACTGTTCCTTATCTTGGCGGCGAGAAAAAACTCCTGAACAAGGTCAGTGGCTATGCTAAGCCAGGTATCATGGTTGCCCTAATGGGAGCGTCGGGTGCTGGAAAGACAACACTTCTCAACATTCTCTCGCAACGTACCAAGGTTGGAGTTGTCACGGGAGAGATGCTTGTGGATGGACGATCTCTCAGTACAGACTTCCAGAGAAATACTGGCTTCTGTCTTCAAGGCGATCTCCACGATACAACCCAAACTGTCCGAGAAGCCATCGAGTTTTCTGCTATTCTGCGACAGGATGCATCAGTCAGTCGTGCCGATAAGCTTGCATACGTGGACAAGGTCATTGACCTTCTTGAGCTTAACGACTTGCAAGACGCTGTCATTATGTGCCTTGGAGTCGAGCAGCGCAAGAGATTGACGATTGGTGTCGAATTGGCAGCCAAGCCATCACTTCTTCTCTTCCTTGACGAGCCTACCTCTGGTCTGGACTCCCAGTCTGCCTATTCTATTGTTCGTTTCCTCCGAAAGCTGAGCCGAGCTGGTCAGGCAATCATCTGCACTATTCATCAGCCAAGTTCCGTTCTTATTCAGCAGTTCGATATGGTCCTTGCTCTGAACCCTGGCGGTAACACATTCTACTTTGGACCTATGGGAGAGAACGGACAAGATGTTGTCAAGTATTTCTCCGATCGTGGTGCTGTCTGCCCTCCTAGCAAGAATGTTGCTGAGTTCATTCTGGAGACTGCCGCTAGGCCTCATAGGCGACCGGACGGTACCAAGGTCGACTGGAACCAGGAATGGGCCGAAAGCGAGGAAGCTCAACAGGTTCTTGAAGAGATCGACGGTCTCAAGCGAGTTCGAAGTACTGCAACAGAAGGAGCAACATCCGACAACAAGGAGCACTCCGAATTTGCTGCATCAGCTTGGGTGCAGACTGTCGAGTTGACAAAGCGCATGTTCAGGCAACACTGGCGCGACCCTTCCTACATCTATGGCAAGCTCTTCACAGCAGTCATCATGGGAATTTTCAACGGTTTTACTTTCTGGAAACTCGGCTACACGATGCAGGACATGCAGAACCGCATGTTCACCTGTTTCCTGATTGTGACAGTTCCTCCTACCGTCGTCAACGGTGTTGTTCCCAAGTTCTTCACCAACATGGCTCTTTGGCAAGCTCGAGAGTATCCCTCTCGTATCTATGGCTGGGTTGCTTTCTGCACAGCTAACATTGTTTCTGATATTCCTGCCGCCGTGGTCTCAGCAGTTCTTTACTTTGTGCTATGGTACTGGCCCACTGGACTGCCAACCGAGAGCTCTGTCTCTGGTTATGTGTTCTTGATGACTCTCCTTATGTTCCTCTTCATGACAAGCTGGGGTCAATGGATTTGTGCTTTTGCCCCCAGCTTTACTGTCATCTCTAACGTAAGTTCCTTCCATTCATATACTTAACTTGAGAATACTAACACCCATCAGGTCTTGCCGTTCTTCTTTGTCATGTTCGGTTTGTTTAACGGAGTCGTGCGCCCTTATGCCTCACTCCCAGTCTTCTGGAAATACTGGATGTACTATGCAAACCCCTCGACATACTGGATTGGAGGTATCCTTGCAGCCACTCTGGATGGCGCTCCCGTGGAATGCGCATCTGAGGAGACTGCCAAGTTCGATGCTCCCTCTGGCCAAACCTGTCAAGAATACGCGGGATCTTTTGTAAGCTCTGCTGGCGGTTACCTTATCAACCCAAGCGCTACGAGCTCTTGCGAATACTGTCCGATCTCTTCTGGTAATGATTATCTTGCCTCGCTCAACATCAGCGCGAGCGACAAGTGGAGAGGTAAGTCGTAACGCCCCAACCCGATTTGCGACCATACTAATTCAGTTTCCAGACTTTGGCATCTTCCTTGCATTTTGTGTATCTAATTGGATGCTCGTGTACTTCTTCATCTACACAGTCCGTGTCAAGGGCTGGAGCTTCGGTTTTGGCAAGCTGTTTGGCGGTTTGGGCAAATTGGTTGGCTTGATTAAGAAGCCATTTCAGCGAAAGAAGGGGGAATAAGATACCAGTAGTTTAGCGTTTGTGGGGTTTCAGGGATATAAAAATATCAGTGATATTGAGGCCAGATTACATAGAAACGAATAATAATCTAAGGATCACCTTTTCAAAACTACGAAACATGTGCCTGCAGATCCATGCAAGACACATCGTGCTACAGTCCCAGTAAAATATCACGATCACATGAAGTTGATGGCTCAAATGCAAAGGTTAGAAATAAAAACTTATGCCGTGATCATCCACTATCTTGTTTGACTCATGCTGCCTTTCGCCCGTCTTTCCGTCCATCCTCCCGTGACTGGGCAAAAGCCAACCCAAACTTGGACATTTATGCAATGCATCCCTGCGTTTGTTCTCTAACCATGCACTCGCCGGTTGAATGACAACGCCAATCCTGGGACTGTGAATGTACGGTTCTCTTGCCAGCCCAGCACCAAGTGGGCAAATGTCTTGTTTGCTCTGTGTCTACCATTGTTGGCGACACACATTGCCTATAAACCTGACATGTTTTGGACAACATATTCAAGTTCCTCTTCTGACATCTTTTATCGAAGGAATAGGTCCCCAACGCCATTCCTCAGTGTCCTTGTTCTATCTACATGATCAAGGCCGAGGTAGTCATCTTCCCCTTGTACCAAAGTTGACAGGACATCGTCTAGCAATTGTTAGTCACTTCGCAAATCGAAACGTGAGAGGTGCCACATACCATCATTAAGATATTGCGGCTTCGAGTAATTAGATCGTCGCACAACAGCAATTTTAATTTTTTCGAAGCTCTTGCCTTTAATACCAGTTCGCTTTTCCAATCGCTTCTTGGTATCCGCAAAGTTCTCACCCTGCATATTTGTTAGCGTCTCACCACATATTATGCTGTCGCGACACAACTCACCTCAATAACCAAGAACTTGAAAGGTACACCGTGGACACGGCTAACGTCGTTCTGGTAGTGGAAAACGTGGACAAACTGGCTTTCGTCGGCTTTAACTTCCTCTTCAGGAACCCGCTCTGCGTAGATTGTCGCGTATTCGTTCAGATTGATGACGGGGTGTTCGCGAAGAGGCTCGCGATAGAAGCGGTTTGAGCTTGTCTCATAGATTCGAATTCTTCCCCCTTCTGCTTCGCCCGAAATCTGTGCCTTCTTTATCAAGGCTTCAACCAAATCGTCGATAGTTCCGGTCTTGGGGACGAGCAAGTCATACGTGTCCTGTCGTGTATTAGCCAAAGTATCCGCTTCATTCCCCGAAGGCATACATACTTCCTTGGTAATTCCTTCACTCAACAATGTAACCTTGATACTCTTCTTGGTGTCGAGCTCTGTAAGACTCATCTCGAGCACCTCAAAGTAGAAAGCGTCATTTCTTTGGGTAGAGTTGAGAGCAGTTGAGCCCATGGGGCTAAGAATCTGTCGGAGTGTTGGGTTGGCTCCCCTTCTCACGGGTGTCTTGGGGTTCTGTGTTGAGGCGTTTACAGTCCAAAACCGGATGTGTGTGGGCTGCACATCAAGGTACGCCCCGACACGCTCCGCCAAAACGTCATAGGAAATCTTCGAGTTGAGTACCAATTCGAAGGGAGGGTACTGAGTCTGGTCACAGCGGGTAGGGTGAGGGTGGAATTTGACTGTCCTCCTGTGCTCTAGGAAGTCGTAGTACTCGCGCGCGTCCTCAAAGTGATCAGAAGTGTTACTTCTATTGCGACGTTAGTGATGGATCTCCTTGAATTGTTATTGCTATAACGCACGTTTCTTGTGAGATCTTGTCCCCGGCACGCTTCTCTGCACCGGCTTTTGTTCGTTGGAAACAGATGATGTCGCCGTCTTGAAGCTCCGCTACCTTCAAAGATTGCTTGGGCTTCAGTGGCTCGATCATCGTAGGCTTGATCTCCTGTTACGAGTTAGCTCTGCAAAATCCTCCAATGCAATCGATTTCCTTACCTCCCAAAGCAGTAACTTCTCCTCGGCGGGCAGCTTCTCACCCCAACCCATTTTCTTAAGGATCATAGGAAGCAGTTCCTCAACCTTCTTCTCCTTCGAGATGTAGACGTGGCCAACACCGCGCAGAGTTTGAGCGTCAATGTCGAAATGCTTCAGAAGGAGTAGGATGGTGTCGTTCTTGACAATTACACCATTGGGCTGGCTCTGGTAAGATGGCCAGATAGGCTCGCCATCAGCATTGACTTCCTCAGCGACTTCGGCCCACACTCGCAAGCTAGTATCCCTATGTGCTGCGGAGCGAGTGAAAGTCTCGTCAACTGTAGGTCGTAGATCCATGATTGGCTGGTCGGGACGAATTGTCTTGTTTTGTCGGTTGACCATAAGCCAAAGTCGCACCCTTCGTGGGTCTTCATTCATATCGGCCGCAACTTGCGCGACGAAGTCTTCCATAGTCATCGTGCGAAGAACTCGGTAAAATTTGGGCGCGGCGGGATCGGATTCAGGGTTTGCATCGAATTGGCACAAATCCGTTCCACCAAATTGTTGGAATGAGTAGTCAGTGATTACCTTCGCCCACATATAGAGATGCGCTTCTCGTTGCTCCTTCTTACGTGCCTCCCGCTGGACTGTTTCCTCCTCAAATTTTTGTCCTGTGACAATCAGTAAATAGGTTCATCAAATTGATTTGGGGTAGCTTACTGAGATGCAAGGGGATGTCGTCCTTAGTGACAGGACAGAGGATGTCATCTAGCTTTGACTGACGGATGTAGACCAACATGTAGGCGCTGTTCTGTCGCATGATAGGAGCTTTCTTTTGCACGGGCGCACGGGGGTAACCATTGGCAGTTTGGTACTCTCCGCCAAAGTTCTCTTCCATGACCTCGCGTACTGTTGCCTTAGTAACCTTATCATCGTCGTACTTGTAGAACCAGCCGTCCTTTTCGGGTTTCAAGAAAGCATAGTAATGCCCAGCATTCAGATCACCACTGTGAACCAAAACACTGTGAAGCTGATATGTCCAAGGAACAGACTTATCGGCGTCCTCAGACAGGTATGGGGCGGCATCGAAAGTTTCGGGGAACTCGTATCGGTCGTTGATTTTCATCATGGTGTCACGCTGGATGTCGTACTCGAAGCGCTTTAGTTGAAGGTGTAGCACATCGGGAAAACTGTTGAAAATAACACCCTTGTTGGCGTCTTGAAGCTTGTACTGGTCACCCGCAAAGTACTGGTTCTCTCCGTCCATCTTCTCGACCTGGACATAATCCTCAAAACTTTCGAGGAGGGTCTTGTTTCCACTGACGTTCAGCTGGATGTCCCAGAAATCCTCGATTCGGCTAGATTCGTAGTCGACATTGATACACGAGATGTATGTCTTAATCTTGCCACTGAACATTTCTGGTAGGACGCTCTGAGCGGGAGTTCCCTTCATCTTATCCTCCATTCTCTCCATGAGCTTGCGTGAAAACTCCTGGACATCCTGCTGTTCGAAAATGTGACGTGTATCCCATCCGAAAGATTTTGTAAGTTCAGTGGTTCCGACTGCCTGATCCGAGGTCTGGAGTTGATAGAAAAGGCGTTGCAAAGTATAAGCACTGTTGTGCATGCTTGGGTCGGACTCAGTGGGGATTTCGTAGATAGCCTATGTGAGTTAGCAAAAGATGACCGAGGCACATTCAAAGATCGAAATTACCTTTCGGAACTTGTTTGTGAAATAAAGCGATTGCATGAGTGAGTTCAAATAGCATGTTGCGCCCTGGTTCTTCAACCCAACGTATCCTGTCTCCTTTTTGGAATCATAGTTGGCAAAGTTGTGCCACAGTACGCCTGTCTCATCTTCAACAAGGCGCACGTAAGCAGTAATGTTGGCAGTGTCGTTCTCGCATAGGGGTCGGCTGCCTCCTTCCCAAGGCACGTTGAACATGCGACGATGCTCAACGAAACGAGTGAAACCCCAATCGCCTTCTTCTTTGGTAAATCGATGATGAGCAGTGTGGTGGATATATAGGCTGGGATCGTTCGGGTTCCAGAGGACGAGCGCAAACTGAACACAGCAGCTCCAGTTGTCGGGAACCTCATCAGCTTCGAAGCCGTGTTCAAGATAAATGGAGCATTGGTCGATATTGTTACCATGTGGGAAGAGCAAAATGCGCCTGTAGAAGAAAAGAAATGTCAGCAAGACGGTGAACGGCAGCGTCGGGACGGATCCAGACTGACCAAGGAAATCCACCTGCTTGGAAGATGGGACCGTGTTCCTTCTTGTTCAAACTGCGCCAGTTCTCAACAGTCCATGTGTAATCGTAGTCTCCAAGGATCTTTGGTTCGTCGATAAGAGGAGGGAGGCAAATCTCTTTCATAGCTTCGTCTAAAGCACAGTACAGTTAGCCTGGAGAGCTCGATCATAACGAATACCTGACTGGGTGCATCTTATGAGAAGGATGCGCCAATTGTAGGAAGCCAAGGGGAATATAGAATACGCACGGTCGTTGGCCAAGGGCAGGTCTTGCAACTGGTCGACTTCGCTTTGTTCGAGGTTATCGGGGTTGATGATAGCAACCTTCTCAGGCTCGTCGGCCACGCCAATATAATCGTCCGTGTCCATGACCATGTCATTAGGAGAGTTGATGTCGTGAGTCTGTTCGGCATCGCGCTTGTCAGTGGACTTCTTTCTGCGTAGAGGCAACTGATTGTGAGGCAAAGTCATCATGATGTCGGTATTCGGGACGACTGGGGTTAGTGCGGGTGGTGAGGGGCAGAGATGATATGCTGTTGGAGGTGATGATGATTTCGATGTTATAGGTAAGGAGAATGGCGCAATGGTTCTACGGCAGACAGATGCAATAATGTCGCTTGGGATTTGTATAGTAGACGGGGTGCTAGATAGGCCATGGCCAGAAGTAAAGGTGAAGGTGAAGGTGAAGGTGAAGGCGAAGGATGACGCAGCTCAGCGTACGAGAGCATTTACCAATTCACGGCGGGCTGCATGGGCAGGAAGGGACGAGGTAAAACGGGAAGGGGCGGAAACAAGCAGGAGCGTACCATTGTGAGGAAGTTGCTACCGATAGAGACGGCAGACTCAGCAAGATCTTATGCAAAAAACGAAGTGGGCAGGCAACAGATCTCACGATACAAAATGCGCGAGCGTGGGTGCAGCCGCAGCAGAGCAAACAATAGATGCAGTGCTTTAGGCAGAGCTCGACAGTGTCGAGTCGCGCGAACAAACGGGTGGCAGAGAAAGAAGCCAAGGGTCTGTCGAAATGATGAGTACCTAGGTTAGTAGGTAGGTAAACAAAAAGAAAGATACTCCAAATTAGAATATCCTGGAGCGCAACGCAAACGCAAACCAAGCAGTGAATGCGATGCAATCAGATGCTAGATAAGTAGGTAAGGTAGGTAGGTATGGCTTGCTTGCTTGCTAGTTAGAGGTATGACGACTAGGCGGAAGAAAAAAAGAGAGCAGAGCGGTCGGTTATGTCAGTAAAAGGCCGATGGACAGTGGTTGAAACCCACAACTCAGGTCCTTAAAATACGTTACGCCCCTCGACTTTTTTTCGAATCCCTGATATGGTTTGCTTTAAAGTCTAATTGAACCAGATACGATACAGCTTCGTGCCTTTGATCCGGATTAGATTTGTAAAGCCGAAAGCTTGGAGTGGAATATGAGGTGAGGTGAGTGATCCAATGCCTTGCATCAAATAACAGGCAGACAGCTAGAGAAGAGCCAGTAGCAATCAATCATATAGCGGGATCAAGAGTTGTGTGAGACTCAACACGGACGAGACTCCCTGATGAGGCGATAGCTAGCAGTTGTTATCGAGGTACTTAGCATGCGTCAATAGATTGGAGGGATCTAGAGTACTGCCTTAACCGACAACAGCCACATCAGGCGTCATCAGGTCACCCCGCCAATGACGTTGTAAGTATCTCATGCATGTTAAAGTTTTGTCAAATAGTTTTATGCTTCGGTTTCCATAGATCAAATCGCTTTATTATTATCTAAGTCAGAATCAAATATGGAGAGAGTCTCTACCAAACCATGCAAGGCGATCTAGCACAAAAGACATTATCGCTCTGTGACGCGTATCAATACCAAATAAGATGGAATTATGACTACCTAGAACTCTAACTCTATCAAATAAAACAATGGATCCAGGTTTGGATCATGACAACCTAGCTAACTGCCACACAGCTAAGGAAGCAAACGCCACAAAGAATCATGAAGCTACCCTATGTACGTACACATGATAAAAAGCTAGGAACAGCAATCTTATCATGGATAATACTCATGATAAGCAGTGCTACACCAGAAACAGCCCTATCTACAGCTTCGGTGAGCATCGCAGATCCTCAGAACCAACCATAATTGGAATAATCGCAGCGGATGTCTTTCCTCCTTCCTGCAACCCACCATTTTGGGTCGGCCGGTATCGCCAGAAGATGTGGGGTAAACTCCAATTCCGTCCCTGCGCAGAACGCAGTAAGTGGGCATGGAGTCACTCAAAGCTGCTTCCTTCCCACCGAGGCGGCACATGCAGACTGACTTAACTTTCTTTCCCTTTGCTTTACCTTAACCTCTTCATTCAGCTATTACCATCTTTTGCAGAATCATCACACGGACTGAGGATTTTATACACGCGACCGAACCACATTGAGTCAATACGCCAGCCACCAAACGTTTTAAAAAGTACATTTTCGCATGCGCCTGTGACGACATGCCGTCAATCGCCCTGCGACAGAGCAGACGATGTAGATTGATAGATACGCGCGCTTACTTGACGAATACTCCCCGATTTTCGTATACGAACATACAATGCCGTGCTGCGACGAACGCATCATGGCGTCCCGTTTCCATTCTTGATGAGTACGTCATTCTAGACTTTTTCCCTCTGCTTCTTAAAAGACCCTTGAATATGGAAAAGCTAACACATGGTGCTTCAGTTGGGTCGCAAAAGAAGCTCGTCCCATCAGCCTTCGCCAGCTCATGGTCTTTGGTCGATCTCTTACAGAATCGCGCCTCATCAGCTCTGCCAATTATGTCCGCACCGAATTACCTACACGGTAAGTCCAGAGCAGCATTCACAAAGAAACAAAATCTTACCCTATGTCTCCAGGATTGCGCATCGCATTCGGGATATGCAACGCCTACCATACGTCGTTACCACAAACAAACATATAAAAGAAGTCTACGATCTGTATTACCACGCCTTCGATACGTTCCGCAAGATAAAAGAGGTCAAGACTCTGGAAGATAACGATAGGTTGTGTGAACTCATAAGCCACAACCTCAAAGGTCATTTGACTGTGATACCGCAACTTGCAATGGGAATCCTGGAATGTGGTGGGTTGATGAGCCCCAGCGACCTTGACAAGTTCATGAACACCATCCTGAGATCGGTCAGTTGCCCATTTTCGATGCCTATAAAATTATGCTAATCGAAACAGCGTATCTCCAGACGAGTTATCGCCGAGCAACATCTCTCTTTGACGGAAACTTACAACTCGCCCAATTTCTCTCCTGGTGCCAAACTTTCCGAGTCTGACTTCATTGGCGAAGTCTTTATTAAATGCTACGCCAAAGACGTGGTCGAGCGTTGCTCAAAAGCCATTACCGCTCTTGCACGCACGACTAACGGCCCGGATGTCCAAATCCCCGACATCACCGTGGATGGCCATCTTGATGCCTCATTCCCTTACATCCTTAGCCACCTCGAGTACATCATTGGCGAGCTCTTACGGAATTCTGTCCAGGCAGTCATTGACCGACATCAGGCAACTCACCCAGACCCAAACAATGTGAAGCCTCACCCCGTCGAGATCACTGTCTGCGAGAACCAGCAGCACGTTATTATTCGAATATGCGATCGAGGCGGTGGCATTCCCCGTGCTGAGCTGCCTCATCTCTGGTCTTTCAGCAAAGGGCCACAAAGCCAGAGACGTCTTGAGAACCTTGCTCAAGTCCCCAAAATGGCAGCAACGATGCAAGAACTCCACGTGGAAGAAGAGCTGGGACGCGCAGACTTGAAAGCGCCTCCGTATCAGAGCTCTCTATCATCTCTGACGAGCCGACCACCTAATCTAAGGCTCGGGATGGGTTTGCCCTTGAGCCGTGTTTACGCTGAGTACTGGGCTGGAAATCTTGACCTACACAGTCTCGAAGGTTACGGGACGGATGTGTTTCTACAGATCTCGCGACTTGGAAACAAGAACGAGCAGCTGACGACTCGAGCCAGCATGGATGCCTTATAGCATGTGGGGTCAGGGGTAATGTCCTAGTTGGAAAGACTGAAGTTATTCTGGACGTTTTTGAAGTCCAGAGTCACAGGTCAATGGACAGGGCTTTTTCTTTGAATATGATGAATTAGTCAACTGGCAGCATGGAGTTTGGTAATTATTTCCCCGGATTCACATTTGAACAAACAGCGGGAACAGTCTTAGTAAATATTCATAGGGCATCGGTTGTCTATCATCAAGGTACTAGCGGGAAACAATCGCGACACATCAGGATTCAAACTGGTATCATAAAATATTGTGATTGAAATTACATCGGAACTAAAATGTGCCTAGCTGAGAGAAAGGGCTCTAGTAAAAGGTTGTAATAAAAAAAAGGGCAAGACGATCAAGGCTCTCTCCATATGTCTTGTTCGCTTCAAGGGTGTGTCGGACTTGCAGATGTGACCTGTCGGGTACAGCTACTAAGAACAAACACAAAATCATGGGGAGGGAATCATAACTCCTACACAGCATGCCATGGCCATGATAACAAGTCCTGCCAAAGGCAACTTCCCTGGCGACCTTGGCAGGTAAAGCGAGCAGGAATACCCGGGGACTCTTTGTCCACCAACTGTCCTCATCTTGTGGTATATCGCGGACCTTTCATTTTTCAACTCCAAACCCCAAAATGGAGTTCCAGGTAAAAGAAATTTGAAATGACTCTCCAACTGCAGCCATACATGCACGCGCAACGGTCCACTGGGTATCGCTTAGCGGCGGCCGTGACTGCGGACAGCGCTGCCCTGCATTTGCTCCAACTCTTGCTCGAGCTGCTTGATCTGAGCGTGGGTTTGCTCGAGATCCTTGTTAAGGCGGTCGCGCTCGGAAATGAGCTTCTGCTCCCATTGTCGGAAGCGCTGCTCCTCGATCTTGACCTGCTCGGTGAAGCGCTTTCGAAGAGCCTCTTCCTCCTCCTTGAACTTGGGGTTGTCGAGCTTGCGGGGACGGGCCTCGCCAAACTTGCGGGTCTCCATCTGCTGAGCACGGTAAGCCTCGTAGTGCAGCTCCTCGGTGGTGTGGATAAGGTCGAGCATGTGTGTTCGGATCAGGATGGAGCGGAGCTTCTTGAAGTCGCAGTGGTCCTCGTTCTCAACCTCGGCAACACCCCAAGAGTACTGGCGACCCTTGACGATACGACCATCACCGGTCTTGACGTCCTTCTCGGAACCAATGACGGCAAAAGGCATGGCGTTCATGAGGCTGCGGGCGTGCTGGGCAGCGGCCTCATCGTCTTCCTCGACCGGGGGCTGGTAGATCTTGATGTTCTGAGCCTCAATGACGGAGACAATCTGAATGTATTAGCGCATGCAGCTATCGAAGCAATGTCCCTTTACTCACTCGCTGCTTGAACTTGGCCAGGTCGGCAGGGCTGAGGGTATCGGCCTTGGCGATAACGGGGATCAAGTTAACACGCGAACAGAGGCGCTTCATGACCTCAATATCGAGAGGCTTAAGGGTGTGGCCGGTAGGGCGGATGAAGTACAAGCAGGCATGGACACGGAGGTCAATCTTGTCCTGACGGCGGGGCTGTTGCTCCTGAAGCATGTAAGACTCGTGCTGGTCGTCGAGGAATTCGATGATGGGCATCCAAGAGTCGCGGTTGTTGACATAGTCGCCGAATCCGGGAGTGTCGATAACGGTGAGTCGGACTGAAATGGGATGTTAGCGAGGGGTTGGATGTTGAGATTGTTGAGAGCTATACCCTTGAAGAACTTCTCCTCAAGCTCGGCCTTGGTGATCTCAATCTCAACGGTCTTGTCAACCTGCTTCTGGTGGCGACGCTTGTGGTCGGCGTAGTTCTTAATGGTGGTGGAGAAAAGAGTGTTGATGAAGGTAGTCTTGCCCAGGCCAGACTCGCCAGCAACCTAGAGACGATGCGGTCAGCGTGAATCCAGGGAGATGCTCGTAGGATAGTTTATCAAGGTAAACCGAGCAGTATAAGCAATATGAGTTGCGCAGGAGACGTACCATAATAGTGAAGCCGGCACCACGCTTCGCGACAATCTTGTGTCGCTGGTTGGGCAGATTGGCAATACCAATCGGTGAAGCGTTCTCGGCAGCTGCAGAAGCCATCTTGTCGGTCGATTACTCGAGTACAACGGTAAAAAGGCAAAGTGAATGGGTATTAAAGGTGATAAACACGACGTTAAAACAGACAATTAATGCAAGTCAACAACCAACTGCAATGCAATATCGCGATGAAGGTCGAACGAGTGCAAAGGTTAAGGTGGAGAGGGAGGTTTGACTTGGGGTCAGGACAGCTCGTGCTTCACTTCAGGGGAACGAATTTCCTGCCCTTTTCCCCCTAAAGCAATTCCCAGGGACGCTTGCTTCTGATAGGCTAGCGTTGACACGGTCCGTGGGTGGACAGTGGCTAGTGGACACGGGGCAGCAAGGGAAACTGCCAAACAAAACGGGTCTTGCAGCGCCAAGGGGTCGAATAAACAGCCACTGGCTGGTCCCTTGAGCTTTGGCCAGCAACAGCCACAGTTGCTGCAGTTGCTACAGCCACAGGTAAATTTCCCTAGCGGCAGATGGCAGATGGATCAATCAATGCATTAGTCGGAGTAGGAGTAACCTTTTACCGGACGATCGCAAAATTCATCTCTTATCGATAAGGCGCAACGATGATTTTTTGGTTGGCTTTGCGACTTGATGTTTAGAAGCATCATGAGTAGCATTTACCGACAATAATGAAGACCGATTTCAAGGTAAGGATGATTCTTTGATACAATGCGCCAATCATGAAAATTCCTAACATCGAATTCTAGTTCTCAAACTTGCTGGGCACAGTTTACTGCCAGGGCAATCTGCTCTACAGCCCAGATGGCACCCATCTTTTTTCGCCAGTCGGCAACAGAGTGACTGTGTTCAATCTGGTAGAGTATGTATTCTCACAATGCCCCTATTCGATATCTCATGGCTCGTAACTAACAATTCGCCCAGGAATAAATCTTACACCCTCCCCTTCGCTCATCGCAAAAACATTGCTCGTATCGGCCTTACACCCCGCGGCAACCTCCTCCTGTCCGTCGACGAAGATGGCCACGCGATTTTGACCAATGTCCCTCGAAGGATATCCATCTATCATTTCTCTTTCCGATCTTCTGTCACAGCGCTCTCATTTTCTCCTTCTGGTCGCCATTTCGCCGTAGGACTTGGTCGCAAGATCGAGGTCTGGCATGTTCCTTCGACTCCTGATGCATCTGCCGAGGGCGAGCTCGAATTCGCTCCTTTTGTTCGATACCACACCCATAATACAGGTCACTTCGACACCGTTAGCCATATCGAGTGGTCAAGCGACTCGCGATTCTTCCTCTCAGCTTCCAAGGATCTCACGGCGCGGATATGGAGCTTGAACCCCGAAGAGGGCTTCACCCCAACAGTCCTTTCAGGCCACAAGCAAGCGGTTATCGGCGCTTGGTTCTCTGAGAACCAGGAGACCATCTACACTGTTAGCAAAGATGGCGCGGTCTTCGATTGGCAGTATGTCAAGCCTATTAACCACGTCGAAGACGAAGATAAGATGGAAGACGACGATGACGACTCAGATATGCGATGGCGCATTGTTCAAAGGCACTACTTCATGCAGGGAAGCTCTCATGTGCGATGTGCTGATTTCCACCCGGAGACGAACCTTTTGGTTGCTGGTTTCTCCAATGGTCTTTTCGGCTTGTACGAGATGCCAGACTTCAACATGATTCACAAGCTGAGCATTTCTCAAAACGATATCGACTTTGTGACTATCAACAAGAGTGGCGAGTGGTTAGCATTTGGTGCCTCAAAACTTGGTCAACTTCTCGTGTGGGAGTGGCAGTCTGAGTCTTATATCCTCAAGCAGCAAGGTCATTTCGATGCGATGAACTCCCTTGTCTACTCTCCTGACGGCCAGCGCATCATCACCTGTGCCGACGACGGCAAAATCAAGGTCTGGGATATTCAGTCTGGCTTCTGTATTGTCACCTTTACCGAGCATACGAGTGGCGTGACAGCCTGTGAGTTTGCGAAGAAGGGCAACGTGCTCTTTACAAGCAGTTTGGACGGATCCATTCGTGCTTGGGATCTAATCCGATACCGAAACTTCCGCACATTCACAGCACCTACAAGATTGTCCTTCTCCTGTATGGCGGTCGATCCCAGTGGTGAGGTTGTTGCTGCTGGTTCGCTGGATTCCTTCGACGTTCACATCTGGTCCGTCCAGACAGGTCAACTTCTTGATCAACTGTCCGGCCATGAAGGTCCCGTCTCTTCCTTAGCATTCACACCCAACGGTGACTCTCTTATCAGTGGTTCTTGGGATCGCACAGCCCGTATCTGGTCTATCTTCAACCGAACACAAACGAGTGAACCCCTCCAGCTTCAGGCCGATGTTCTTGACATTGCTGTCCGACCCGACTCACTTCAACTAGCTATTTCGACACTGGACGGACAATTGACCTTCTGGTCAGTAACAGACGCTGAGCAAACGTCTGGAGTTGATGGCCGAAGAGATGTCTCTGGTGGACGAAAGCTCACCGATCGTCGAACCGCTGCAAACATGGCTGGCACGAAGAGCTTCAACAGTATCCGATATAGTACTGACGGCAGTTGCCTGTTGGCCGGTGGTAACAGTAAGTACATCTGCCTGTACTCGGTTACCACCATGGTGCTCCTGAAGAAGTTCACTGTCAGTGTGAACCTTTCTCTTTCTGGTACTCAAGAATTCCTGAACAGCAAGCTCTTGACCGAAGCTGGCCCTGCTGGCGACCTTGATGACCAGGAGGCGTCGGATCGTGAAGATCGTGTGGACACATCGCTTCCAGGATCAAAACGCGGAGATCCTTCGGCGAGGAAGAAGGCACCTGAGGTGCGCGTGACTGGAATTGGTTTCTCGCCCGCTGGTACTGCGTTCTGTGCTGCCTCGACAGAAGGTCTTCTGATCTACAGTCTTGATCAGGATATCCAGTTCGATCCATTCGACTTGAACATGGAGATCACCCCCGCCTCGACATTGGCTGTTCTCGAGACGGAGCAAGACTACCTCAAGGCTCTGGTTATGGCTTTCCGTCTTAACGAATCAGGTCTTATCAAGCGTGTCTTCCAAGCCGTACCCGCTCACGAAATTCCTCTTGTTGTCGCCAACCTACCCACCATCTACGTTTCTCGCCTCCTCCGATTTGTCGCCGCTCAAACTGAGGAGTCACCACACATCGAGTTCTGTCTTGTATGGATCAAGGCTATCGTCGACAAGCACGGAGCTTGGCTCTCCGCCAACCGTGCTAAGGCTGATATTGAGTTGAGAGTTGTGGCACGAGCTGTGGCCAAGATGCGGGATGAGGTCAGGAGACTTGCTGATGAGAACGTTTACATGGTTGATTATTTGTTGGGTCAAGCGCAAGAAAAGTCTGAAAAGAAGGATGTTAAGGCATTGGATAGTGGAAAAGATGTGGATGTGAAGCTTATGGCTGTTGACGGAGATGAGGAGTCTGATGCAGGATCTGATGAATGGATTGGCTTAGATTAGACTGATTAGACTGTAAATACGATTCATAATACCCATGCATATTATACAATTTCCTTCCTTTTGGGTATTTACATCTTTGCCTTTGGAATCTCTTCCCATGCCTCGTCAAAGCCTGCAGATCTAACCCACATTGTTCCTCCCTGACTATCAGCCTCTTCGTTGGCGTCCATTAACACATATACCGCCTTCAACCACTCATCATCTTTAATTCGCACCCACTCTCTATCCTGATAAGGTTTCGTCACTCGCTGCGCCAGCATAAGCGCTCTCGCCAACTTGACAGTATGTCCATCGTCCATAATTTTATGGATCCTTGGGAACAAATCCTCGGCTTTGTCCACCAGCTTATCGCCATCCTTAGGCTCATACTCGCGGAGCAAATCCTCACGGAGAGCAGGTGAGCCGCGCGCGATGTACTGCAAGAGATCCATACGGATCTTGTTCTCGAGGAAACGTGCTTTGGTGGAGGCTGGAATCCAGGATTGCTTGTTGAGTGTGAGAAAAAAGGGCGTGGATGTTGTATGATGCCTGTAACAGTTAGAACCCATTTTTAAGAATGAAACGAGGCACTTACATAAGGATAAAGTCAAATCTTGGATGATAAGGAGGGTGGAAAGCAGCGCCTGAAGCGACAAATGCAGAATTATGCACCATCTCAGCCGTTCTCTCATCCAACTCACTCTCCTCAACTCTCACCCTCGCCGCTAGGTTGATCATTTCTTCTTTTGCCCTTGTAAGAACGCCATCGAAAACTCGATTCGAATCCTCCCAATGTGAGCTCTTCACAAGGGTTTCATCCTTTACAACATCCTCATAAAGCCCTGGAATAGTTTTCATCTTGGGCGGTGCATCAGCACCTTCAGCTTTCTTAGCCGCCGAAGAAAGAAACTCGTGATAATCATCTCGATGAACAGCCGTCTGCGCAAGAGCGGCAGCAATAATCATGGGCTGCTCCCACTCCATCCCGTAAAGAAGCTGGATTAGTGGATGAAGGATGCCGGCAAAGAGACGACTCTGCATATCGCGACCTCGCGCATCATCTTTGAAGAGGTATTCCTTGAGAGTGTCTTGCCAGCCGATCCTCTCGATTTCGTCCTGGAAGAAGCGGAAGAAGGTGGCATAATTGCGGCCTTTGCCAAGATATTCGGACCAATCTGAGCCGTGCTCTAGTTTGTCAACAACATCGGATTTCGGTTTCATAGCTTTGAGCTGATATGTTTTGTTGGCATCGTAGGCTTTGTCTATGATCTCTGTTGTCGCGCCAGTGCCGTATAGAGTGAGAACTTGATGGACGAGCTGAATACGTACTGTTAGTGAGGTAATCAGTAAGAATTGACGGTGAAATTTACATGGTCATGAAACCCTGACTCATTGAAAAAGACATGATGGTTCTGCATGATGTTAGCCTTGAGATACATAGATTGAAGTGAGTTGAATACCTCGAGATCCTTCTGAAGCAGGTCCGTCACTTTTGAAGCCTCATTCTGACCCTGCTTCAACTCCAATAACCCCGAGTTCTGGGGCTCGACCTGAATTTTGAAAGGAGTAGCCATTGTTGAATATTTGTTAATTAGTACCGTGCTTCTTATAGTAGGTCTCGTAAAGACTCGTTGAGTTGTCCGCGCCAACATGAGGAGAATATGCCCAAGTTATATAGGGGAAGAAAGCAGGTGACATGAAGTAACCTGTCCTCTTTATGTATGACAGTAACAAGGAAGCGATACTATGTGTCCTTTGTGACGATGATATCACGTAAAAGATGAGCTGACAAATCTGGGATCCGTAACTGAACCTCTTAATGGTGTAGCTATGACCCTCTCGGATCTCGCACTTCAGGAATGCGCCGTTAGGGTTCTCGACAAAGTCCGAGTTAGTAATAAATTGGAACCATTATATGAAGAGTCGACGTAGTCTTATGCATGAATTAACTGATTGGTATTCACACCAAAAGAACAGCTGATCGCTAACACAGAAAAAGGAAGGAAGCTCTCAGTCGTTGTTACCCCGGATTTGCAGCACCCTGACATCATTGAAGGCTGCCTTGCCCCACTTTTCTAACTAGTGAGAAGAGAGCTGTTTGCTGCTGACCTTCTTTATGTCTCACATCCACGTTTTGGTTTAATCAGATCAGATAAAGGCACAGTGCATTTGGTGAATTCTTTCCATTTTAACCTTTTTAACTACCAATGATCTAATATCAACTGATCTGGTAAACCTATCCCATTTTTCTATGCCGGTATCTCTTTTTTGTCATAAGTCTTCATATCTTTAGTATCTCATAAGGTAGTTTAAGCTGTAAAGAACAATTAGTACATGTCAACATCAAGTATGAATGAGTTGTTCAAACTTACCCTTGGTGAGAGCGGGGGCCTCATCATCAGAGTCGTCCTCGTCCATCTCCTCGAACTCAAGGTCGCTGGGGATGTCGTCGGCCTCCTGAGCGTTGGCTATTGGCTGTTAGAAATGGTTCATCTCATCATGTAAGATGGGAATACATACTGAAGTACTTGATGGCACCGGGCCAGAGGTCCTCAGCGATGAAGACAGCGAGGTCGTCGGCGGTAGGGAAGATCTCGTACTCGTACTCATCATCATCATCGTCGTCCTCATCCATGTCATCATCGTCATCCTCCTCGATCTTGCCAGCCTTGCGGTCGGCCTTCTTCTGCTCCTCAATCTTGCGGCCCTCCTCGGACTCCTCGGGGGTAACCTTGCGGCCACGGAAACCGAAGAAGCAGAAGAAGCTGACACCACCCATGCCGGTCTCCTCCATAAGCTTGAGAAGCTTCTTGGAGTTCTCGGTCTCGCCGAGCTTCTGGCCAGCCTTCTCCTCGTCATAGACCTTCTTGGCAAGGCTGAGCATGCCGTTGGTCAGGTCCTTGCCCTCCTTCCACTTGATGTCGACGGGCTCAGAGACGAGACCGGCCCAGCCATCCTTGTGGAAGCGCCAGTAGAACTTCTTCTCGAGAACCTTGTCCTCGAACCATTCGTTCTCCTTGAACTCCCACTTGAGGGAGACGGAGCGAGGGTCGCCGTTGGGAAGCTCGAAGCGCTCAACAGTGAGACCGGTCAGGGCGTTGAGAAGGAGCTCGGAGTCGCTGGGCTGAATGTACTCGTCAACCTCGGGAGGAGACTGCTCGAAAACGAGGGGCCAGAACTGGGGAATGTTGGCGATGACCTCAGCACGCTTGACGTAGAGGTCCTTGGTGAGCTTGTCCTGCTGACGGACTGTTTGTTGTTAGTATCTGATGTTCAAATACCTGGTACCAAAGTAACTTACTGATCTCGAGCTCAACATCCTCGAAGCTATCCTCAATAGCCTGGAGCTTCTCGTAGGTGATGAGAGCCTCCTTGAGCTGCTCGTCTTGCATATCTCCGGCAGACATTTTGAATGATGGGTCGAAAGACTCGGGACGCATATAATCAATCTCGAGTAGAAACTAGGAAGAGGAGGGGTATCTTGTAGTCGTAAAGCACAAAAAGGAAAGAGATTTGTGAGAGAAGAGAGGGAGGGAGGGACGGTGAAGGTGAGGAGTTTTATTTATTTACTTGTTTACTTGGGACTAAAGAGGCTACTACCCGCACCTAATCCAATTTTAAAAGAGAAAAATTTCATCCTGTCCCATCAAAAAGCTCCATGTGCTGCTTTGCCTCTTAGATTTGCTGTAAAAGCTCCTCAGCGGTGAAAATCAACATTTTTTTCTTTTTAGGTGGGGTTGTGCTGATGTCATTGGTTCGCCTTCAAGCCCCGCGCTAGAGGACCCCTGCTTTTTTCACGGTCATTTTTTTGCCTCTGCAGGTCCCCTAAAAACGCTGCAGAAACGCGTGGCTTTAGTGGTCCAGGTGTCAATCATCCCCACTGTAAATGGAAGCTTTGTGTTTCTTTACAGGGGGGTGAACGGCCCACTACAGGTTTTCTTAGGCGGGGTATCCTTGATGAAGGGACTTGTTTAATTGAAATGTGATGAATCCATGCTTCTTTTTGGAGGGGAAGAAGATGGAAGCTTGGCTTTCGTTAAGATCCGGCCGGAAGAATGAGTGAGACAACATGATATACCCGAGAGGCAAATCTTATTCTTTGCTCCAGAATTGTATTGGACATGTCTGCTATTAGCGTCCTGCATGTGTATACATTCTGGGATCCTTCCTTCATCCATGCATGCTGTCAGGATACGAAATTGTCCGATGAAAGCTTGGACCAAGGAAGGTGTTCTCAAGCTCCGTGAATAACTTCACAAGACAGATGCCTAATGATAAAAGTAAATTTCACTGGTCATAAATGACCTATATGGTCACTTGATCAGAGTAAGGTCAAACGTTAGTATGCTATATCCATTAGAAAATAAAGATCGAAAAGTGTCTAATAAACAATGGGTTTTGGTCTAAACACCAAGCAGTGCATCACAGCAAAGCAAAGTGAATGAGAACGTTCTCGACATTAATCTTTTCTGATTAACAGGCAGCCTGAATAAGTCATTTTCGCAACACAATGCGGCATCCTTTCCTTGTTGATACTCTGAATTGCGGGAGTCACATCTAGTAGTGCTGTAACTTGCAGTGCATATCTGACAGAACTGCCTGCAATGGCGTTATCACCAGGCCATCAGAAAGCAATCAAGGTCCTGAATCCTGCCTCTAGTATCTACGTCAATTCGGGCATCATCTGCGATTTTCTCCGCTGCAAAACATACCACTATTCCAACTCATTCAACTGACGATAACCTCAACTCGATATCAACTGATATCAACCAATATCATCCAACATGTCGACTCACTTTGCCGAATCCCTCCGACCAATCCCTCTGGAGGTGACAGTCTATGGTCCCTACAACGCCCTCAAAGCCGCCAACTTCGGGGCAAAACGTCTCCTCCTCTGCCGCAAAGGCTCCGCCGGAGTTGGCGGCCTCACCCCTGAAGTCGAAGAGCTCGAGTATCTCAGAGACAAGGTCCATATCCCTATAAGCTGTGTTATCCGACCACGCGAGGCCCCTGAAGTTAGTAGCTCCGGCGAGTCTCACGATTACATCTACTCTGAAGACGAGGCGACTGAGATGTGTGAGTCGATCCGGAAACTTAAGGAGGCCGGCGTTATGAATCCTCTTCGTGGCGATTCCTTCGTCTTTGGATGCCTGAGACGATACCACGAAGGGACGAACGCGGCTTCGAGAAGAGGAATCGTTCTGGATGAGTCTCAGTGTTGTCGTCTCGTTCATGAAGCTAAGCCATACGGATCTGTCTTCAACCGTGCCTTTGACGACTTTGCCGAGCGAGGAAACTGGAAGGACATCATCTCTCAACTCTCTGACATAGGTTTCACGGGTGTCATGACTGCCGGAGGTCCAGGAAGATTCAACAGGCACATAGAGCGTCTGGCAGCCATGTGTCACCATCTTCACGACATTCAACTTATCGTCGCTGGTGGTTTCCGCTGCCCTGAGATCAACAAGCTTCGAATGTACGCGCACGACTACAACATCCGTACAGTCTGGATCAATGGGGAATGTCTTCGCCCCAGGGAACACGTAGATCCAGAGACTACTGAGATGAACAGCGTCATGGGGATAATTGATCTGCTCGGCCTTCAGACGACGGATTAGATGTCCACTCACGACATTGGCAAGCAGGTCTTTTACTAGTTGCAACTCGTCCAAAGCTCTATCAGAAAGGCTTTGGACTACATTACTGAGGGATACAAAGATCCTATGGAATGGAAAATTACGGATGATGATTTAGGAAGCATCTGCATAGTTTTGAAGTTTGCTATCTGTTCGGTGAACCACAAATAGATAGTTCAAGCCTGGGATGGCTGAGCGTTTAAGGCAAGGGCGCATGTGACTCATTTACTGAAGTCCTAGATAAAGGCTCAAGTGCGTCCAGCATGATAATATATTCACCGGGCATGGCGAGCTCGACAGCCACGAACTGGCCATTCATTATTCGCAACTTCACGATGGAATCAGCTGTATTTCCAGAAATCTTTTACTAAGTATACAGCTGCGATACAGAATCAGATGTATTTACATGAGCAAGCAGATGTTTTGGCTCTTTCATTCCCCTTCAGCTATCTTTGACCGCTACCGTTAATATTTCCCCTACTATAGCAACCTCCATATTGGCCCAAGATTAGTCCAGAATAAGAAAACATTCCTACATTCGTACCTCCACTCATCTATGCCATCGAAAGCCTCTTCAGTAGATGGTTTCTCTGAAAGCGGTATTAACACCGCGCGATGAGACTCAAGACAACAGAAGAAGCAAGCCCGACTCATGCCAAAAAGAATATTGTAATGAGGTCCGCGAAGCCTCTGGCTTGGAGAGTTTCCGAGTTGAACATCTTCTTATGCTATATGTGTCATCCTTTGACGCACAATTCAAAGCCGTGTGGGGTGAATGTACCAACTCTCGAACATAGTGACAGACGAGGTTTGCTAGCCTGCGTCGCAGAGCTGGTCAAGCAGCAAGCTAGCGCTTACTGCGATGTACGGAACGAGTCTAGAGTAGGAAGCAAGCTCCTCAGTACATCGTGAAAGAACTTCTTTCTTCTAACTCGAGACGGTTGAAGGTGTGGCGGAGAACTGACATATGGTTTCTTGATCGTGAGAGATCACGTTCCTTGCGTTCAAGTTGATTATAGAGTTTCAAACACTCCTCATTCGTCTGGGCTTTTTCCACTTTCAGTTTGCGTGCTTCCTCCTCAAGTACCCATAGCTTAGCCAGCAGGGAGGGGGGAGAATCTGTAATAGGACTTGTCCTGTAGCTGATCACAGGGTGAACCTTTACACCTGTTGATAGGGCACACCAGTGTGGCCCATCATCTACACAGGCCATGGTATTGTATTTTGCAGGGAGCTGGGTTGTCCAACCTGGGTTGAAGGGAGAGCCCATTCTTGCCCCAATATGCACAACCCCTTGTCCTACATCAATTTGGAACTGAGAAATCTCTTTCAAGTACTCTATTTCGTCTTCGTTGAGTGGTTCAATGGCTTTTGACATGTCGCATAAGCCGTGATCGGGTGAAAATAGACAGTGGATGTCATCGTTGTAGCGGACTTCCTTGTACCAGTGATCAGGAAAGGCTAGGCGACTATAACAAGCCTTTTTGCCATCGACTTCTGTTAGAACTGCAGGCATGATAGGTGGTCCTATAGACCAAATTGACCCGAGGTGCATCATTTCGTGTATCTCTGTCAGACTGAGCCCGTCGGCTGACAAGAAGGGGCCACCAAGAGCAGACCCGTCCTGCATGGCTGGCGTAAGAAGCGTAAACGGTTCGATGGCAGAACGCCCAAGTGTCGCAAACCTCTCTTCCCATCCGGTCCCTCGCACCTGGTATTCTTGTGATGCATTCAGATCATTTGCGTAGTTTGTGCTGATGAAATCATAAGGGTGCCCATAAGCACCCAGGCGGTAAAGCTCGTGATACTTGAGCCAAGTAGGAAAGTAGGCAATGAACACGCCTAAACCGACAGTATTTATTGGAAATGGGCCTCTGATTGGCTCAGCTCTACGTTCGATGCAATCCTCTATCCAAAACCAAGTTTTGACAGCATGGATTATCTGCATTCTTGTGATGAAGGTGGTCGGGTTGTCCGCTTGATAATCGTCGGCAGCCTTCTAGACGTCCTTTGTTATCGTCTTACTGTTGAATCTGAAAGCAGGAAGGGCAAAGAACATGTAGACTCCCTGGGAAGCGTCAGGTTTCTTGAGGAGATGGTACTTCATGGGAATAACCCTGCTAGATCGTGTCTGTTTGGAGGGGTAATTCTTGAATGCAATAGCGTCATCTAGGGGGTGATGCTCAAGGTGTGCCGTTGTTATGCCTTGTAGAGCAAGAGTTCGCCAGACCTTCCGCTCTTTTCGAGCCACCCGGTTCCTGTTGACTGCAGTTGTTGCGTCGCCCACGACAGGGGAGGCATTGGTAAGGGTGATCTTGAAACTTTTGACTCTGTCCTCCTGAAATAGAGGAGCAAATGGCAAGACGCGCCATGGAGGAATTTTAGGGTTGCTGGTCTGGTAGCTTGGTTGGCCGCTTGGATCGCTTGGATCGCTTCTTGGGCGGCATTGGAGAACGGGGCAAGGTACCAAACAGACAACAGGATACCCATCTGGGGTCATTCCAACGATACGATGCTTTGAGAAGTCAATCTTTGTTGGGCCGGAAGCGCGGTTGCATGCTCGTTGAAGGAATGGTGCTACAACAAGGTCGGTCGATGCTCGCGACTTCGAGCATCGCGCCCCAAGGGGAAGATCAGATATGTTGTAATTTTCCATATCTCCCTTATTCTTAGGCAGTGAAGGTGTAGATGTAAGGAGAGAGGAAGATGAAAGGTGGAGGAAGGAGGAGGGAGGAAAGAGAGGGGGCGCAGAGAGGGGCATTAACGATCAAGTCAGTTCTGCACCAACACAGCAGTGGCTAGCACTGCCTGCCTGTTTGCCTATACTACTAATCTTTGCGCAGTAGAAACCAGACGATTTCTTGTTTCAGGATATCACTTAATAGGGGCCTGGTCTTGTTTACTTGTTTCTCTCTATTACACCTCGCAGCACTTGCTTCTCTATCCTCTCTTTAAGTATATATATACATCACTCAATCATCTCGTCGTAAAACCGCCACCACCTCTAATTATCATACTTTTTAGTAACCTCCCTTCTTGCCTTGAGCAAGACCAAGGCAGTTGGCAATCTTGTAAAAGACGTCAATGTTGCTGTATGTACCGCCGAAAGTCTCCTGGCAAGGACCAAGAGCATAGACAGGGACATCAGTTAGAGAGTGGACACCCTGGCTGTTGTCGGTGCTGATGGTACCGTTGACAACGAAGCCATCAGGGGCGTCCTCAGGGTTGACGTAGTAGTCACCGTCCTTGAGCTCAACGGCGGCTGTACGGGGCTTCTTGTGAACCTTGTAGTTCTCTCGGTGGTCGGGCATGGCACCGACACCACCGGCGATAGCGTATCGGGGCTCCCAGTTGGTGGGGAAGTTGGCGCCGGTACCGTAGTTGATACCCTTGGCCTTCTTGGTGTACTGAGACTCGCCAGACTTCTCGTAGACGCCAATGGCGCGGCGCTTGGCACGGTCGTCCTCCTGCTCGGAGAGGTACTCGGTGTCGGCAGAACCCCAAACACTGCAGTTGTTAGCAACTTGATACTATATGTATGATAGGAAAACAACTTACTCAAAACCGTGACCGTGGTCAGCAGAGACGATGACAAGGGTCTCGTCGAGAATGTCAAGCTTCTTGAGCTTCTCAATAGTAGCACGGACAGTGTCGTCAAGCTCAAGAAGGTCGCCGAGAGCACGATCGTAGTCAAGAGCGTGCATCTGCTTGTCGATGGAGGCAGCCTCAGACATGAGGAAGAAACCCTTGTCCTTACCACGGGTGCTGAGGACATCAATGGCCTTGAGGGTCATGTCCTTGAGACCAGGCAGGTCACCAGCAGCAGTCTTCGCGCCAGTGGGGTCGTTCTTAAGGCTCTTGATGTTGTCGGTGTAAACGTTGCGGTCGAGCCAGACAGGAAGGTTGCTCTGGCAGAAGACACCGAGAGCACGCTTGCTGTTGTCAGCCTTGAGGAGAGAGGTCTTGTTGTGAGAGACAGTGTAGCCCTTCTTCTTGTACTCCTGGTAGTAGTCCTTGCCCTTGTAGGAACCCTCTCCAGCAATAAAGTTCTCAGCACCGCCACCGAAGAAAACATCGGGACCCTCGTGCTTGGTCCAGCTGTAGTTGCTGTTTCCATTGAGATTCTGGTCGATCAAAGGACCGTACTGGCTTCGGAGACGAGTGTGGCCAGTAAGAGCAATGGGGGTAGCGTCGGCGAGGTAAGCAGTAGAAACAGCACCCCAAGCGCCACCCTATTAAAGTTAGAATACGAATGGAGCTCGATTTTAAAGAAGACTTACCCAAATACGCTTGAAGACCTCGACAATGGTCTCAACCTTGGGGTCATCAAAGGGGTCAGGAGAAGAGTCGGCGTAGACACTGCATTCGTTAACTTAAGCTCCTAACTTTCTCGAGGAGCTTCTTACCCCATGGCGTTGACCGTGCTCTTGTGACCAGTGTACAGAGCAGAAGCAGAGTTGGCAGAGTCGGTGATGTAGCTGTCGATCGAGTGGGTCATCTGGTGACCGAGGACAGGGAACTCATCCAGCTTCATCAGAGTCTGGTACTTTCCGTTGATGCTCTTGTGTCCCAGGAGACGAGCGGCAGTGATCTGTCATGTCCATTAGCTTCCACAAGTCCTGCACTCCACAAGCAAACTTACCATATTGGTGGTCATGCCATCGCCAATGAAGAAGATGACGTTCTTGGCCTTTCGCTTAGGCTGGAGCGGGCGAACAGTCCACTCAGCAGTGGTCTTCTCGCCGTTGTAGTAGTGCAGAGTAACGGTGTACTTGCCGGGCTCGTTGAGGGAGATCTTGCGGTAGACCTTGGAGGCAACGTTGACAATGCTGGGCTTGTCCTCGTCCTCGGCAAAAAGGTCCTCGTACCAGTCGAACTTCCATGTCTCGACCTTGGGCTCCTTGAGGCCGAATGCCTTTGCAAAGTCCTTGGCCTTCTCACCCTCCTTGGCAATGGTCACCTTGAACTTCTGGTCAGGCTTGCCATCGTGGGCAGCCTCAGAGCCGTTGACGGGAGCGTGAACCTCGACACGGAGATCGAAGAGCTGGCCGGGGAGGAAGTCACTCTGGTCTGGGGGCAGAACGCAACCGAGCGTAGGACATGTGCCCAGACGCTGGTAGGTCTGCGCCGAGGCAGCAGCAATTGAGGCCGCGAAAGCGGCAATGGCATTGAACTTGACCATTGCGACGAAGCTCAGTCCAGTTTCCGGGGAATGGAAGACGGAAGCTGGTGGTTGGATTAAAAGAGGCGAGCAGGTGCAGCTTGAGGGGAGCTCAGAAGCTCAAACTTAAGGTGAGGACAGCATGCTTTATAACAAAGATTCGTCTCGGCGATAATCCCACGTGCATTGCTGCCGTTCGGAAGACATGTTCCCTTCTAACTGGAACACCATGTCATGGATGAACAATGCGCTTTCCTCAGTGGGCCAAGCTGAGGAGGCTTTATGATGAACTGATCTTGGCCTAACGGCGCCTTGCATCCAGCCAATTGAGTTTCGGTAAGGGCCAGGACAGCATCCAAGGCTGGTTTAGATCGACAGAACGGTGTTGCCTGTTCCATCGTGTTGGGATGAAAAAAGTGCAGCTATCCCGTTGCATTACGGAAGGGATTGGCGCCTCATGATGGCGGATGATAGCACGTGTGTAAGTTGTGCCAGGGCCGTTCCTTGCAAAAGGACCCTGCAACTAGTTCCGATGCTTGTCAACTTTGTTCTGGTTATCATGGGCCAAGGGCGGGGGTGTACTCCCCATGGCGCAGGTGTTAGTCAAAACAGGTCAATCACACCTCATCATCCAGCCCAGGTGCCATCATGGTCGTTGTCGACATGAGCATCCCCGATCCATGACCGATCCTTGGCTTACATCTCTTCCAAAGTAGTTGACCGAATGGGAACGCCACCCGGCTCATGATAACCCAGTCAACCGAGACCACCAACAGCTTCTCGACCTCATCCACTTGCAGTTATCAACAGTATGATCCAAGGAGGACAGGGATCCTCGGCTGTGGCTTCATGAGAAGCTCAAATGCCGCTCGTGGGCGAATTGAGTATTCCTATTGGCTGTACAACCCCTGCTCCTGTAGCTCCACAGATCCCCGGATAGAAGAGCTTGGATCATAGCTTCTTCATAGTAAGCTTGTTCTTTTTCGCTCAACTCGATCGGCCGTTCTTTAATCGATTTTCAGTGCAATCTCCGGTGCTTGATTGGCGTAGATGGCGTGCGCCGTCTTGGCCACAGGTAACTCTTGTTGTCTATCAATTTGAATATTTTTACTAGACTTTTGTCCGGCGGATTTTCGCACTTCAGGTTCTGCTCAGTAGTTAGCGAATTGTATTTTTCTAATTGCGTTGTCCTACCCGGAGCAGTTGCGGGGCTCTTTTTCGTCTTCACCAAAAGGTGAAATACAAATTCGGTTTATTCTATTGCCAGTTTCAGTCGTTAGCATTGTTCACAGAAATTAGAGGCAATCGGTTGAAAGATTCGGCTTTTATTTGAAATTGACTATGTGGTCGAAGAACGCATAATAAATGCGTACTGGGAATAATTTGTCCAATGCTCAGGTCTATCTATAATACTGAACGTGGTTTCCGCCGTTCGACCAGAACTTAACGAATATGACAATCATAGCGTCAAGAAAACACTGCTTCAGTTGACAGGCTCAATACGCAAACTCGCGCGTACTGCGTTGCTTTGCTATAGCCGGGAACTATACACTGGCTCGTTTCCGATATGATTTTCAGATCGACTCGGATCCATATGGCAGCGATGTCTGATCAGCATGCAGTCAAAGGTGGACCGAGCCAGATCGCCGGAATGCCCTCTTGACAGCGACCGTACCTGACATGTCATGGTCGGATGAATACATTAGTTCCGTCACTTCTCCAGGCTGGGTGCAACCCCGTCGGTGGGCAACGTACCCTCGACAGCTGCAAGAGGTTCTGCAATGGCCTCCGGGTGGGGGCTGACATCGACCGAATCATAGAGTTGCCAGCTGGGCTCGTTGATCTTAGTCTGCCCTGCAATGCTCTTGAAGTGGTAACCCCTGGCCCGAGGCCTAGTTCCGGTTCCAACGGGGACCTCGGGCTCATACACAGCCAAAAACTTCTTGTGTAGCTCCTCAAACTTCTCGCTGCTCTCGCTCAGAGCTGTTCGGACGCCGTCAAAGAACGCATTGAGCATGGCGTGGTTATGAATTTGGAGAAGGTTCCAGCCCAGCATCTCCTTAGCATTCAGTAAGTGCTTCATGAACGCCCGGTGATGCTTGGTGCAAGCGTAGCATTGACAGCCGTCCACTAAAGGCTGCAGGGATGTCGTATGCTCCTCAGACCACATATCGATACCCAATGGCTGCAGCTCGGACGACTCAGGGGGTGGAAAAGTGAATGACAGGGCAATACCTGCATCAGATGCGGTGTTTGCAAAAGGTACAGTGCATACGTCAATACCAAGGGCAATCTGTCGCAAGAGATCTTGAGGAGTCTTGGAAGGCCCAAACGACAGCCGGGGCAGGTCTCCTAGGGAAGGGTAGTTGACCAGCTCAGGCACAATGTTGACATCGTACACAGCGAGACCAGAGAGTTTATCTCGAACGTCTTCGGCGAGATATCGCAAGTAGTCCCACTGTATAGGGTACTCGGCAGGGAGCACAGGAGCAAAGACAGAAACCCCCATTTCTTTTAGACGTCCCTGGGGGTCTGAAAGGTGAAAGAACTTGTCTACCCATTCTTCTGTCCTCTCAACCATACGAATCTGACGTTTAGATGAGAGCTTAGTGCTGGTGTGGGAGAGGTCAGCTGGAGGAATGGCGATATCTGGTTGAATGAGCTCAATGAACTTTGCGTATTCAGGGATCGTGAGGTTGCGGAAACCGGTGGAGGTAAAGATACTGATATGGTGAGCAGCATTTCCCACTGGTGCGGTGACAGCAGGGAATCTTCTTGGGCCAAGGATTAAGGCTCGATCTGATGGGAAAGATGTGAAGTTTTGAAGATTTCTCGGTGTTCCAGGTGGTAGTTGGAGTACAGGAGGTTGTGACTTTTCAAGAACTATAGCCGGTCAGAACATGTCACCAGATCATTTTTTGCACCTCATACAATCCTCTATCGCTAGATAAGCTGCATCAAACGTTGTGTGCTTTGTGACATTGTCTGGTGTCAAGTGAGGGATGACTCCCCGTGAGGCAACAGCAAGATAGTTTGGTGTCTGCATTGTTCTGCGTCCACTAGCAAATGCCAGTCGTCCCAGGCGAGCAACACCAGCTTCGCCAACAGCGGGTTTTAGTAGCTCGAACATTGTGAGTGTCGATTCTTTTGGTGTAGGTTGGGTCATCTTGACATGACAAAGTTTGGACGGAAAATGTGAACGAAGAAAGAGTCAGAGACCGGCAAAAGGATATGAGGGTACAATGACAGATAAGAGTAAGTAAAAAAGCCTCCCAAGTAAAATTGAAAGATCTTCGAGGGATACGGCCAAGTTATGGTTGTCTGTACATGCAACGAAGCTGTTGGTGAGACTGCCCTTTGAGTATTTGCAGCAAGGATTAGTTGGATGTGGGCAGTAGGTGTGGACTCGCACCATTCACACTGTGACTCTTCTTCCGAGGATAAGCCGATGTAAGTCATACCACGACGGTAGGAAGGCTACCTATTACCTGCTTGTTGGCGATTTTAACATAAGAATGTCTATTTATATAGTTAATGCAGTAGTCATTGTATGTGGTATTGCTTCTTGAGTTTCCGTGTGGCTCACACATATGCATTGATACAGTTCGTTGGTGATCACAGAGTTATCTATCGTTTTTGTGAAATTTCTTGATATACAAATAGTGAAGATCTTATTATTATAATAGTAGTAGAGATTTTCCGATACTTATTCAAGAACGATCCGTGTACTGGATGGCAGGTTCTAGGATTTTTCTGCTTTCTGGTGCTTCTTGTCGCTCGTTGGATTACTTCCTGTGTAGTAATTTAGTAAAAATCCGCTAGATATGTTTTCTCATTCTCCAGACCTTTTCGATTGAAATCATCACCCAAGTGCCATCTTGATATCTCTCCTATGATACTGATTATGCCGACTGTCCACAGTAAGTATTGTAGCGTGCGGACGTCTTTGGCAACTAGGTATGATGGTTAACACGCACTCTGAACCAATATGGAGAACTACTGCATACCTTTATCATGGTCACGCTGGAGCGCGGGGTATATCCTGCATAGTGAAATGCACATTTCTTTGACTTTCTCCCAAACCTCCCGATCAGAGAGTTCCGGGCCTTTTAGGGGTTGACCAGATTTGTTCGTGGCTTTGCGCCCCTCTGTCTTGTGATCCCGTGGTGTACGGGTCTGTAGAGTAGTGTGTAGGGCCCGGATTTGACTTGATGCGAAATGGTTCGGTGCAAATGATGCGCGCTGAGCTGGTAGGCGTAGAACCCCGAGAAGAGGCGAGCGTGAAGTGATTCGGTTCTGGCATAGCATCTTGGAGCTTTGGTCGAGTGCGATAGGTCGCATGACCTGAGAGAGTCGAGATACTAGGGGACGCATGTTGGGCGTGTGATTGAGAGCTCGAAGACGAGAGTAGAAAGTTGATGCGACAATACAAGATCGAGGCTGGGATACCATGCTCTTTATGAGTCAAGGAAGATATCCAGAAGGTTTCGTGAGTTTGTTCGATGCACAAAACTTTCTAAAGACTGCTTTTTAATACCTTTGTGCGGTCAATAGGCAGTCAACTCTAATCTTGTTTCTGCCTCAACTGAAGTAAATTCACTCTTCAAAGTATAGTGAGGTATATTAGAGAGGTAGAGAAAGCAAGCAACTTATAATTCTCCTCAAGCTCTTTCCTATCTGTTCAACTCTCGAACAACCTACCTATTTAAAGATAGAGTCACCCTTGCTATTTCGTACTCGAGTCCATCGCCATCACCATCATCGGCGTTGTCGTAAAGATCTATAAGCTATCGTGCACAACATGGCATCAATCGCTTACAAGTTGTCCCGGACTGGCACTCGGGCTTTATCCTCACCTCGAATTACATCCTTCAGGCGCACTCCGCCACCGCGACCAGCTCCCCATCCGCTTTGCCCAGCGAAGTACCAGATTTCGCGTAGGGCAATACCTCTACCCTCCGGGCGTCCTAACCCTGAACCACCATTCAATGGTAATGACAGTAAGGAACCCTTACCCTTGCTAGCTGCAATAGTCCTGTGCTAACATTCGACTACTTAGAGAAAATCATCGTATGCGGGATATTACTCTTCTTTACGCTACTATACAAGTCGGAAAAAGCAGTGTGCCGTATGGTGGAGTCTGACTCTTCTGAGAACCTTGATAACCTCTGTATATATCTCGGTTTGCCTAAGTAGATGCCGAGTTCGTGAATAGAGGAGACTCGTCTTAGTCAGTCGGAGTCTAGACAAACTACCTACCTACCTAAGACAAGTGATCAGATTGCGTCGATCGGCACTTGACTCTGGAATAGCAGGTGGGTCGAAGAAAAAGCGAGACTTAGCTGAGGGTATCATAAGAATTAGGATGGTATACCCTAAGCTTAGTACCTAAGGAAGTCTAAGTTATTTTGTCAATAGACTTCTATGTCTTGGTTATTTTTCGGACCGCCTGAATGGTTCATCAGCTTTAACTCTAGCTTTACAAAACATAACATGACCTCAATGTTCTGGTGAGTTGATGGAAGACTTGAAGTGGTTCTGCCACGAAAGCTATAATTGGTCCCAGAGCCTGTACCTGCTTCTTAGCGTATCTTTCGGGAACCATCCTCCGGGCTGCAGGGCTGATGCTGAACCAATCATTTCAGTAGAGCCTGAGTGACAGTGACAGTCAGAACCAGTGCTGCATCTGCCCAGTGGAGGTTAGTAGGTACTACCTTCGGTACCTACTGTATGTCGCATCAAGGCAATAAACAATGCCATCTAATGGCCGACGACAACCCTCTCATGATACAGTACCCATACATCTCCTGCTTTGCTTCACTTCCACTTCTCACCTATCAATCAATCAATTTTTCTCCACTATAAGACCTAAACATCAAGTGCGACACAGAAAAGATCCTTGCGAAACACGAAACCTCTGATCCCATTCCGATAAGGCGCATTCTTTCTCCACTTTACTGCTTCCTCCACCGGGTCTTCCGGCACCCCAGGAAGGCAAATTCGCCGAGCCGCCAAAGCCAATCCAATACGCAATTGATTAACTTTGTTACGTATCTCCCTCTCTTTCTCTCTCTCCTTCTTGTTCTTCGACAATGGTGAGCCATGAAGAGGAAGAATCTCAACCTCTAATGGCAGGACACGATCCCGTAGACGTCGACGTTGTGCCCGTCAGCGGCAGCAACAGCAATAGCGATACCGAGCACGACAGAAGAAATCGAGACAATGCGAATCATCCAGATGCGCCTCTCGAGTCTAATTCTCGCCTCGAAATCGACGATAGCGATCCTCCGACCCCGCTCTTTGTACAGGACGAGAGTTCATGGAAAAGATGGAAATGGGTTCCTTTTCCTGTTCGACGAGGCGTCAACTGGATCGCTAAATGGTCTCACGGTCCTACGAACCCCCAGCCCTATCGCATAAAGCCTTTCTTCTCGATCATACAAGAATATCCCCTCTTTCTTGTCGAGCGCTTTCTGCCCAAAAGAAAACACCGCCTTTGGCTCGTATTTTTCTACCTCTCTATCTGGATCGTCACTTTTGCTCTGGTTAAGCGCCGGGACTCTGTGGCGAGTGAGATTGAAGGATGGGGCATGCCTCAGACCATCGGATGCGGTGTGACATATTGGGGTAGAGGGAACGCGTGCGGTCTCGATGGAAGTGAGTGCCGTCCCTTCAGCGGTAGCGGATTTCCCTTCAGATGCAGGGCGAATTGCGAGAGCTTTCATGTTCTCAACCCTAGAGCGGTTGGGAACCAAGAAGTTATCTATGCGCCCATGGTTGTAGGTGGTCCTGGGACCAATGGATCGGACGAGGCGGTGTATCGTGGGGATTCGTTCGTCTGTGCAGCCGCTATTCATGCCGGTGTCATCTCCAACCAGAACGGTGGTTGTGGTGTTGTCGAGATGATCGGTCGCGATCAAGAGTACGCTGCTTCCAAGCATCACGGAATCTCAAGCGTGGGGTTCAATTCTTACTTCCCCTTGTCCTTCCGCTTTGCGCCGGATGTAACTTGTTCATCAAGCGATTCACGATGGGAACTTTTAGCCGTTTCGACAGTTTTCTCGGGAGTCTTGTCTCTTTTCACCAATTCGCCAGCTCTGTTCTTCTTTTCTGTCTTTACAGGCATCTTCTGGACTGTTGGTATGGCCCTTGATCCGCCTCCGCATACCTCAGTTGCGGCATTGTTCTCCAATTTGATCGGCAAATTTTTGCCTGCCATGTTCTGCGCATGGGTCATGTATGACAAGATGGGTGTCCGTCGTACTCTCCGTGGTCTCACAGCCCAGATCGAAAAGACGATCTTGTGGCTAGGCGGATGCTGGGTTGGAGCTATGGAGAACTACACGCTCAGCTTTATTCCCATCCAGCGACTAAACAAGCATGATCTGGACCAGCAACCCGGTGCTAGGGCTGCTCTGGCTATCATCATTATTTTGCTCGCCGTGATCATTACCTCGCAGGTGTGGTTCTTCAGGCAAGAAGGACGCCTGATTAAGTACCTCAAGCTCTATGCGCTTCTTGTGGCAGCTATCCTTATTTCACTTACCATTCCAGCGCTCAGTCTACGTATCCACCACTATATCATTGCTCTTCTGCTTCTTCCTGGAACGAGTATGCAAACACGACCAGCTTTACTCTACCAAGGCATCCTCGTTGGTCTATTCATTAGTGGTATCGCTCGGTGGGGTTTCGATCCTGTGCTACAAACATCCCTAGCCCTGCAAGGCGATGCTCAGAAGGGTTCACGACTGCCCTCAATTCCAACGCCGGCCATCAACCTCGGCAACGGAACAGACGCTCTGTCAAACATCACGTTCAAATGGAACGAGCCACCGGCCCAGTTGTACGACGGTATCAGCATCCTCGTCAATGATGTGGAACGTTTCCGCACATATTTCAGCGATGTAGACTCAAAGCGTGAATTTGTCTGGAGCAGAAATAGCAGCTTGAATCTACCAGAGTACTTCCGTTTTGCATACATGGATGGAAGCGAGAGTGGGGATTATACAAAGGCTGGTATCTGGACATCAGACGGCGAGTGGACGAAAATGAAACCTGGTCCGTCTCGGCGAAGCTTGGATAAGGATAAAGATGAATTGGTTCAGCGAAAATGATTTGATGATTTTGTTTTAAATGCGTGGATATACATAGAAAAGTACCTATGATGTGCTTTTGAATAGTGTCATTTTCGATATTGGCGATCCAGATAGATAGATACATAGATATCTCATGACATGATTTGAGCCGACTGTGTCGGCTCCGATAACCCCACTCTTGTCCGATCCGGCGCCGTGAAATTGTGCTTGTTCCGTGATTGCGGAGATCTTTTAGCAATTCGGTAGTGTTTGCTGGTAATCTGAATCAAGCTTGTATTATTGTTTGAAGCGTCTGTACCAGCAAACATTTCAATCATTCCGTGTGACGCTTCTTCATATCGAGTAACATTCAAGCCCCGCTCTTATATCATCTCCAATTCTCAACCTCTCAACCTCTCAACCTCAACCTCAACCTCAACACCATCACCAACACATATCACCATCACATATCACCATCACACAAAACTCACAGCAACATGCCTCCTCGAGTTCCCACAGAAGAGGACTTTGCTCCTCTTTCATCAACTCTTCCTCACACCCTTCACTTCCCCGATCCTCCCGAATCAACAACCACATTCCTCATTCTCTTCCATGGCCTCGGCGACCATGACGTCCCCTACGCAGGCTTCGCCAAAAACCTCAACCTCCCTGGCGTTCTTGGAATCTCCGTCCGCGGCACATCTGTTCTCCCCGCTGCGTTGATGGGCACCGATGTCCCCGGTTACCACTGGGGTGATGATCTCACTGTCGATCCCAACACAGGAGATATCGCTGATGACTCTGGCTTCGAGAAGGCACGCAAGTTGGTCATGGAGAAGCTGATCCAGGAGCTTCTTATTGAGAAATGTGGTTGGGAGATGAGAGATATCATGTTCTTTGGCTTTGGACAGGGTGGTTCGCTTGCGCTTGGTCTCGCAGCTGCTCTCGACACTACATCTCGCGTTGAGGACGTCACAGAAGGAGAGAACACTACAGCACCGGGCAACAAGAAGTTCAAGGGCGTTGTATCCCTCGGTGGCCCGTTGCCTCAGTCGATGGTTTCTACCGTCACCAACCGTCGCAAGAGCCGCACAAGCGTGTTGGTGTGTCAACTACTGGAGGAAGACGCTGTCGACGCAGTAAAGCGAGAGTTTGACGATGTCAAGGTTGTGCAGTGGAAGAGGCGCCAGATGAGCATGCCCATCGACAGAGATGAGGTTCTGCCTCTGATGGAGTTCTTTGCGGATAAGCTTAGGCCTGAAGAATTTTAGATTGGTCCAGGAGGGTTATGCTGGACAATCCGACCTTGGCAGATATGGTATTAAGACATCAATCAGGACGTGAGGACGGATAATCGATTCATAAGGGGTATCATATTGTGTTCATATCCTGAAATAAAAGTACATTAAGCGAATCCTGCATTCTTGTCTCGACAGCCTGTTTGTAACATCTCAGCTAGAATATCCCATTTTGCTGACTGCACATCACTTGTAGCTCTGGCTACGCTGCGCAGACCACCGCACGCAAACCGCAAATGTCTTTCAAAGTCGGACTTGATCTCCTTCAGCACAGTCATAAATGGCTTTCCCATCTTCAACGTCCTCGACTCATCCCTAGCATCATCTTCCTCGTCACTACTATCGATAACGTATCTTGATTTCAACCCAGGCGTTCCAGGCGTTGGTGAGAGATTTCTAGTTGAGAGGCGAGAGACATGTTGTATACGCTCTGCCTCCTTCGTCACGTTGACTGTTTGAGCTTGTTCGAGTCTGATGGCCAGGTCAAGCATGTCGAGAAAGCATTCTCTTATAAGAGTTAGTCTGCTTCCAAGGCATGCTTCATCAACGACCTGTTTTAAAAACGCGGCGTGAACAGAAATCATAGCATCCACATCATGCGCTTCATGCATAGCATGTCTCATTTTGGCACAGTTCGGCGCCAGAACCAGTGTAGCAAGATAGGTCTGAAGTGTAGTGCAGAACCAGAGAACGTTGTTTCGTAGCGAATAGTAAAGTGCTCGCTCGTCCCAATTTTCGTTGTCCGCCCAGTAATTGTCGAGAATCTTGCGTTTGTGCAGGATATACAGGGCTCTCTTCAGTTGCAAGAGCAGCACAAAGATGGTATCGTATTGTGCGTTGCTGTCTTCGGATAGAATCATGCGGATCGGCCAGGCCAACCGATAGTTGACTCTTGTACTTGGCAGAGCAGCCTTGACAGAATCCCGCGCTGTAAGTACTGGTATCCTTAGTGCTGTAGGTTTGATGTATATGGACACTCTTGTCATATCAACAAGAGACGTGAACGCTTCTTGTGCCACGCTAGTGAGGGTGTAGCGGTTATGCCAGTTAGAATCTAATGTGTCCAGCTTTCCAAACAGGCTGCTGGTCCAAGCCTCCGTCGCGGCTCCGTCAGACATGAAGTACAAACGCTCCATAGCCTCGAGGGCAGACCAGAGCCCGCACTCTTGAAAGAGTGTGTTCCTCAGTGTTGTGGAGGTTGTGTTGTATTTGGTTTGTAACCACCCGTCAAATGCAGAATCAAAGAGTTCCGAAAAGGGAGCAAGCTCAAGCCCTTTAGGACACAGGGTTTCGTAATTCAACGGAGGTTCCTGCACCGCCCATTCCGAGCCCGAAGAGACCCAACGACCTAGTCTTTTGAGAACGACAATGTTCTTGCCAGCGTTGAAGATTTTGGCGGCTGCAGGCTGAAGAAAGTTGGGGGCATGTAACTTCCCATCAGTCGTTCGGCGAAGCCTAAACTGTTCACGCCAGATCTTGCTAGGAGATACTTGACTCGGCGCTTCTGAGACGAAAAAGATCTTGTCGCCGGGGACAAGCTTACCCTCCTCCATCCACAGTCGGATAGGACGAAGGTAAACATTGAAGCATTCGACAAAAATGCGCGCTAGAAATTCATAAATGTCTAGCTTGCCGGACAGCTGAGCTATGCTGGCGTCGTCAAACAGAAGTTCGAGGTACCGAAATGTTCCTTGGTTCGGGATATTTTGTATCTGGGCGATAATATTTGAAAGTGAGTACAGCGGCTCAAGCAAGGTAGCCAACTCTCCCTTGACAGAGAGCAAACTGACAACCACGTTGTTCTCAGGCGCAACGAGTCGGGACTCTATCGCTGTTACTTTCCTCTCGAAATTGCTGAGTCGTTTAGCCACGGTATCCTGAAATACCTGAAGATGCGATGCTCGTTGCGGCTTTTCGACAAAACTGCGCAGGATAGCTAGCTGGCGACCTGCCTCGGAGAAGTAGCTTAGAAGAGCTCTATGAGTATCCCACTTTAGATGAGCCATCTGAAATGCAGGATCAACCACGCCGTTGGGTCCGAAAAGGGTCGTGTTTAGTCCTTGTAACATGAACAAGACTTCCCGTACTATATGGAACTCCGTAACTGGAACTTTACGCGCATGCCCTGATGCATCTGTTGGTTTCTCGGTTCTCCATTCTTGCGCTTCTCGAATTTCGTTGAGTTGATCGATGTCCTCAGGATGAATGATGAGATCCTCGGCTATTCTTCCAAGTGCTGGTACTTCAGAAGGCTCAGTGCTTGCATCAGACTCGCTCTTGGCGTCGTCTTCGTAAAGCTCATCGTCAGAACTGTCAGTGTATTTTATTGTCTTCCATATCGCAGCATCGTCTTCCCATCCGTCTTCCTTGGCGATATCCTCCCAGCGCAACTCAAGCTCTGAGTCTTTAGGGCCAGTCCCGAGTGCATCTAGATCGCTTAGTTTTGCGTAATAAGTTGGCTGATCTGAGAGCTCTAATATTAAATAGAGTATTTCAGGATGGAATTTGTCTGGTTTCTCGAGAAGTTGTTCCCGACGTTCAATGAGGGCATCAGCAAGGGCATCCCGGCCGTTGACACGGAACCTTTCTTCCAAGCCATCGAGTTGATGCTCGACCTCGAATTGATTTGTGCGTAGATATGGATGTGACTTTAGTCTCTGCAAGCTAGAGTTGTAGAGAGACTTGAATCGAGGGTTCGTCTGTAATATCATGAGTTTGAGATGCAGTTGCTGGTGGTAGACATCATCATACCTGAGCTGATGAACCAGTCACCGCCTCAACGAGCTCTCCAGTGAGAGAACCCAGCCTTGCAGCAAACGACATGACTCCCTCTCATGTCTTGCGCATTATCATGCCAAATGGCGGTTGTATCATGACTTGTTCAAGATGGATTTGGCGGGGGTTTTCAGTGGTTCAGTGGTTGATGGCGCGTCAGTCGCGTCTAGACAGGGTCCAAGCTCCACTACAATCGCTGGCAGCTCTTATCGGATCGGATCTGATTGGCTTATCTGCTGTGACATCAACCTCAATCATTTGAAACCCCTTTCATCATCCTCTCCAGACTCGATCAATTCTTCCAATTCGGAGACGATTTGCTAGATGAGAACTGAATACAATATTTGGTCTCTCGTATAGTTTGGTATCGTCTATCTCATGGATAGTTGAGCCCCAATTATCTCCCTTTCTTGGCTTTAGAGCAACCCCGGTATTTTTCTTGCGTCCATCTTCACTCCAAAACATGACGGTTGCGCGACCAGTTCGGGCGTTGATCGCCGTCGGATGCATCGTTTGGTGTTTCTTTCTATGGCAAATATTTGCTCCTTCATGGGGTCTAAGAGGTCCCGGCGATCGATACTCCAATTTTGAACGGGACCCCATGTTAGATCGTGAGTCGCAAAAGTGTTGTGCATTGCATTAGTCCATTGCTAACGACGAGGGATTCGTAGCTACCGACGAACCAGAAGGAAAATTACATCGAACGAGTCCGAGATATGCCCCCGATGCGAAAGACAGCGAGCGCATCGACGCTACGCTATTAGCCCTTGTAAGGAACGAGGAGGTGGATGCTATGGTTGCGTCGATGCGTGACCTCGAAAGGACATGGAACTCCAAATTCAACTATCCCTGGACATTCTTCAACGACAAGCCATTCACAGAGGAGTTTAAGAGGAAGACAAGAGCGGCGACCAAGGCAAAGGTCAACTATGGTAGGGTATTCGTCACAACAGAGCAGGATATATACTGATTATGCGACCAGAAATCATCCCGGACGAACATTGGGAGATGCCCTCTTGGATAGACCAACAAGTCTTTGAAGAGTCGGCCAAGATTCTAGAGAAGAATGGAGTTCAATACGCAAGCAAGATCTCATACCATCAAATGTGTCGATGGAACAGCGGTCTCTTCTACAAGCACCCAGCTCTGAAGGACACTCGCTACTACTGGCGCGTGGAACCAAACGTACACTTCTTTTGCGATGTCGACTACGATGTCTTCCGTTACATGCACGACAATAACAAGACATATGGCTTCACGATCAACCTCTACGACGACCCCAAAACTCTTCCTTCTCTATGGCCCGAGACAGTCAAGTTTCTAGCTCAGCACCCAAACTACATCAACAAAAACAGTGCTATCGACTGGGTCACCGATGATATTCGCCGACCGCAGACAAACAGAAAGGCTCAGGGGTACTCGACTTGCCATTTCTGGAGTAATTTTGAGATTGGAGATATGGAGTTTTGGCGGAGTAAGACTTACGAGGACTACTTCAACCACCTTGACAAGGCAGGTGGTTTCTTCTACGAACGATGGGGTGATGCACCTGTTCACAGTATTGCTCTTGGTCTATTCGAAGATCAGAGCAAGATTCATTGGTAAGTCCCTTGGTATTATTTAACAGCACTGGACTAACGAAAACAGGTTCCGTGATATCGGATACCAACATATTCCCTTCTTCAACTGTCCCAACTCGCCAAAGTGCAAAGGCTGTGTTACTGGTCGTCTCACAGATGGTGAAGCTTGGCTACATCGAGAAGACTGTCGACCCAACTGGTTCAAGTACGTTGGCATGGGTTAAAGAACAAGCTTACAACATTGTCCTAGAACATTTTACGCATAGAAAGGGGTACGAGCTTTTGGGTTATGGCAGTTTGGGTCCCGGTTTTGGCGCTGGTGGGAAGCGATCAATGTTCAAGCAAGCTGTATGAAGTATCATGATGACAATGTCTTGTCTGTGTACGATTTGGAAAACGCCCTTGATGATGATGTAGCCTTTTATTTCAGAAATAGACAAAGCCATATATGCACGGCGTTGCTTCGTTGTTCAAAGTGATGGGTATAACTGGTATCTACAACGCTCCGTAGACCGTCACCACGCCTGATGTTCCACCTACGCAAAACTGATCTCCCCAGCCATCTTCCCTCCACGCCATACAACTGACGACGTTACTTCTCGGCTTCTCCTTTCCATCGCGACCGACGGCTTTCTTCTTAGTTTCAAAGCCCTGGGGTCCCCAAGGAACCGTTACCTTGGCCGCCAATTTTCCTGTCAACAAGTCCCATGCCCAGAGCCTTCCTTGACCGTTAGGTGCAGCTTCACCAGCCATGGCATCACCAACCATGACGTACTTTTCTTTACCGCCCAGCAGTGCTTGCAACTTAACGTCCTCGTTCTTCCATGCTGGGTCGGTGTATGCTCTTAGACAAGAGCCGTTATCGCGATCCATGAGACGCAGCTTGTTGTCCAGACTGCCGACTAGCATAGCACGTCCATCACGTGTGAGACTGAGACTAGTGACAGGCGCGCCGATAACATCAGTGGTGACCTTTCCCATACGGATATCATAGCTGCGGACGCGACCATCGACACTTCCTGCGAGAACTTCAGGTCCTCGGACTGCAAGACACGTCACTGCATCGCTCGCCTCTTCAAACACTTGTATGGGCTTGAAACTGCTGCTCTTTGTATCCCACAACCTAACACTGGTATCAAATCCGCCACTCACAATGATGGAATCGCCTTCACCAGCAAAACTCGTACAGTTGATCCGAGAGGAATGACCATGAACATTACCACCGAATCGCTTGGTAGTAACAGCCGTGCTCACATCCCAGAGGAACACGCTGCGGTCACCGCCAGCCGACACAAAGCGCTCATTATCAGCCGCAACGGAAAGACTCAAGACTTCATAACCATGTGCCGAGTATGTCTGGATGAGACGACCCTGAGGGACGCTGTGGCGATCTTCCCCCGGGGCTGATGTACTGGGGAATGGGTTGTAAAGGCGGATGGCTCGGTCCGCTGAGCCGGAGAGGATGTAGGTGCCTGGAGAGGCGGAGTATGCAAGGGCATGGACCGGGCCTTTGAGTTTTTATTTGTTAGTTTACTTGGTTGTTGTTGTTGGTCGTGTCATGTCAGACAGACATTGGGTATCAGCGCGGCATATGCCTCGAGTTGGTAGGTGAGTAGTTGGGAAATGAAAGGGAATGGAATGAGAGGGAGTAACATGATATGATTTTACTTGAAAGAGCAAGACGCCACACCTGAAAGACCAAGTGAAAAGATGAGGTAAGAGTAAGGGTAAGACGAAGAGGGAAATGGATAAAAGGGGTAAAGCGAGACGTTACCATTGGCGCCCAAGAGGTGGGCAGAAGGTTTATCGGGAAAACCCATATCGAGAAGTTGTCATGTCATTCTCTCTCACTGTAAAGCGTTCAGTGGATGTATTGTATCATGAGAAGCCTAGCCTGGAGACGAAGCAGAGACGAAGCTCTGACGTTTCCGCGGCAGAGCTTGTTTCCAAGGTATTACCTAATCAGGCTAGTTGCATATCCGCGTATAAGGCTCTGCTCTAGACCAAAAAGAGACAGTCTCACTACTAAATACACTCCCCCTCCCTCAACTCAACTCGACAATCATGCCCGTTGTGTTTAAAAAAAGGGCACTGCAGTGTAACCCTCAACATGCAGATGCAAAGTCATGATGCACATGTAAGGTTATTAATCTAGGAAAAAGTAAATGCACCAAGTACCGAGAAACAAAAGCAATTTGTGGCGGCCTGTATCCGATTGGTATAGTTACTAACCAAGAGCATAAGCTGCATACAACAAAATAGGGCCTTTGTTGGTTGTTGAGTTTTCGTTTAGGCATCAAGTAAGAGACAGCACAAAGTACATTCTTTATGAGTGTCTCAAGAGCTGTAGTGTCACATCAGAGTCTATGAGTAGCAAATATGTCTGATCCTCCACCACCGCCACCGCCTCCTCTTCCACCTTTGAAGCCATCACAACACTCCCACAGAATTGATCCTCCCCCAACTCCTAAACCCCCACCCAAACATAACCCAGATTCGCTTCCCTTCATCCCAACAACATATCCCTTTTACGGGACCCTTACCCATCCTTCCATTCTCGCCCACATCCTCTGCCTGCCATCCCAGCCGACCCTCCATCAGGCTTCGCTCACCGGCTACGCCCTGACCTCCTGGGGCCAGTACCGCGCTCTTGTTCCTGGCTCGTCATCTTCTGTTGTCTCTGGCTTCACATACGAGGTTCAGACCCAAGGCCATGAGCTCGCACTTGCGAGATACGAGACCCACGCCTACGAAGCTGTGCCATGTTTAATCAGATTAGTCAACGCTGATGGAAAAGTAACCGCTGAGGTGAGCGGAAAGACATTCGTCTATGCGGGCGATCCAAGGGCATTGGAGCAAGGCACCTTTGACAGGAAACTGTGGGAGTATTAAATGGGAATAAGTCTGCCTGCGGCATGGAAAACCGACATGTCATGGGATCGCCATGACGCCGCAGACTAGACCAGGTATCGATGCCTACTGGAGCTTTGTTCCCGGGCTTCGACACTGGAACCGTGATAGAGTAGACAAACATTCACCTTGCATCACTCATTGAGCACTGTGGTTATAATCTTTGTCTTCAAGCCCAACAAAATGTAGGGCATCAATATATTTTAACAGACTTTGGTGCGGCCCAGATGCCTCGTATGCTGGTCATCTCTATGTGCCTGGCTGGCTTCAGAACACTAACTTACGCCCCGCCAAAGGTAAGACCTTGACTTTGGGGCCAGACGCCGAAACTCCTCCCTGTATGTGCAGATGGAGATGTATCATACAGTATGAATAGGATAAAAACAATCAATGCATCGCTATCCCCAATAAACAATGGGCAGGCCTTTGAATCGACGGCCTGCCATATATATGCCAATGACAACTCCATATACTCCGATGCTGATGACAAACCACCATGACTGCAGCGCCGAGAAATGCAACAAATGCAGATAATAAAAACAACACAATGTCCTTCAAGTGCTCAAACAGATGTCATATGGCCAGTGCCATTCCATGCGATACAATGCCATGTAATGCAGTTCGCTGAATCGATTCATCGATTAAAAAAGTGTAGAGTAAATGGTATCCATATCCTTAGGATACAGCTTCTCCATCGGGTTGTTGATTTGCCAGCGAAGAACCTTTTCGTCTTCACGCCCTTCGGAGCTGTAGAAGACGCGGTAGCCTTCGACTGGGCTAACCGGCTGACTGCCACGGTCTCGGATGCGGTGCAGCATTCCAATGCGACCATCAATCAACTCCTGTGCGCCTCGCACGTTGTCCCAGATGGCAAACATGGCCTGAACAACACCCTGAACCATGTGCACGTTCTCGATGATGTCGCTAACATGGGACAGACGCCCACTGGCTGTAAAAACATCGACAGCTTCGGTCAGCACCATTGCAAGAACGGGTGCCGGGGCGCTCAAGACTGTCTGGCCACCGCGGTGGAGTCGCACGAGTGCCTTGGCCATGTCCAAGACCTGAGTCGCATGCTCGTAGCATGTCTGAATGTGAAGAGAAGCAGTCTGAGGTGAGGAACGCCCAGCGGCGAGAGTGTGGCGGTTGAGCTTGATCATGGCGTGGTTGTATAAGAGATGCATGGTCAGGAAAGGGCCGAGTTCTCCTGCCAGTGCTGCGGACTCGAGGTTTGATGCGGTGAAAGCGAGACGGGAAGGCAAGGCGTTACGCCATTCCTGGATACGCTTGAGGATTCTTTGAGACGAGTCCAGATCCGCTTCCATCCAGTTCGCACGTCGAGCCATTCTGTAGATCCGACACACGTCGCTGGACCACAAATGGACCATCTCAACCAGATATGCTGAAATACCCAACTCGCGATCACGCGAAGTTGTGAAACTCGAGACGTAGGGGTTGAAGATTGGGGCGTATCCATCCATTTCACGCTCGAAGCTGTGGGAGTCTGCGGGTAAGCGAGTATAGATGTCTTCAGCGTTGATCATGGAGAGGCGATCAGGGAAGCGGCCATCAAGTCGTTCCAGCATGTAAAGAGACCAGAAGGTTCGTCTCCTAGCTTCACAGTACCCTGCCTTGTTCATACCGAATGGGAAAGATGAGAGACCGGCCTCCCTTGACTCTTCGATTTCGGCGTGAAGCTTCAGGCAAGCGGCTGTTGCGACAGCTGCAGAGATCATCTCACTAGCCTCGGTTGAGCGAGAGATGGAGATGTAGTAGAGAGCTAGCAGAATTCTTGTCTGGACCAACTGAATGCAGTTAGATGTAGTAGACTTTTGTGCGTAGTGAGCAACAGAAGCGTATTCGAAAGCGATTGCCTTGGGTCCTCCAGACAGAGCAACGCCAACAGCAAGAATGCTGTACAGAATCATCAAGTCTTCGGGGGACTTTCGGTGTCCATTCATAACCCATGTCTTGAAAACATTCTCGGGAATGAAGCGCACAATCATGGTGCTATCAAGATGAACAAAGAAATGCGAGATCACTGAGCGGATAGACTGCGGGTCAGACAAGCATGGGTCAGTCCTCCAGGCTTGGTTAAGGACGTCTTCGGAGATTCGAGGGAGCTCAAGGGCAGGTGGCTGAATAGGCAGCTGAGGAGGTCTCGGGGGCTCAGCAGAGGGCATTGGGTGCATTTGCTCTCCCATCGCAACGTAGCTATCGTAGCCCACTCGAAGCCTCTTGTGAGAGCCAGTGTCGGGTGAAGATGGACGTAGGGTGGTGCGCGGAGACACTGGGGAGCTGTTCTCACTCTGAGGAGGTCTTGATGGTCCATCCAGATTCCTGACATCGTCAAGTTCAGCCGGTGGTGTTGAAGGAGAAGTATTATGTCCTCCTCGAGGTCTGCAAAGAGTAAGTAAAGCTGATTTCGAAGTTGATTTACTAACACTTACGCATTCTTGAATTTGCATATTCTGCCAAACTTCTCACACTGAACACAGCGGGGGTAGTCGGGATCACATTTGATCTTCTTCTCGCGACATGTTACGCAAGCGATTGCGAGTCGCTTTCTGGGCTTGCCAGCCTTGGTGACACCCCAATGGGCATTCACTGCCTCTCCATCGATCACTGTTTTGCAATGGCTACCATCGTCATAGAAATAGCACATTCCCTCTCCAGGTACTTCGGTGGCCCTCACAAACCGAGGGAGAAAGTGTGTTCCGGTCCAAATCTTAGGACCCAGCCCATCCTTTGAAGGGACACCCTCAGTTGCTGTAGTGCTCGGTGTTGGTGGTGGAATTGGGGCTCCTTGGGGTGACCGTTGGCCATTGTAAGTGGGAACCACACGCTCCTTGTTGTCGGGGAACTGAAGTCGAAACTGATCTTGGGGTGGTCGGAAAGATCCATCTCGAGATCCTAGAGAGTACTCTGGTCGGTTGTCCTGATGTACTGACCACCTACCAGACTGTCCTTCAGCGATGGACTCCTGACGAGAGTGCTCCCCGTCACGGTACCTAGGCGATGCTGAGCCAGAGTAAGATCGAGGTAGAGCATGTAGTGACTGTCGGTCTGCTTCAAACTTGTTATCGTAGCTTCTAGGCTGTGTTATAGAAGGTGACAATGTCTGAGGGAAGTAAGATGCCGAATGGTGCCTGTCACCCGACGGTGCACGGGTGCGCTCTCGGGGCGTTGTAGTAGAATAAGTGTTGGTGTGTTCGGAAAGAGGTGAGTGTGCTGGTCGACCAGCTGCTGGGGGTCCAAAGATACTGCTTAATGAAGGAAGTTGTTGTCGAGGAGCAGCTTGTGTAGCCGACTCTGGCCTTGTTTGCTCTCCATTCATCTTCTGATCTGCGGGCATGTCTGTCATCAGAGACTTATCATAGTTGTTCATGGAAGGCGATGTAGGCGCAGGCGAGATCCAAGGTCGATCCGCGGATGAGGTTGAGTTAGTAGAGTAAGATGATGCGCCTGGGCTCTCCAATTCTGGAGGGGTATTTGGGAAGACCAAACGGGGACGAGAATCTATGCTAGGTAGGACACCCATTGAAATAACTACTCGATATGACTCGAGTGGCAGCAAAAGAGCATAACTGGGGTTCGAAGGAATACTGTTGTGGAACAAAACTTTTGAGGTCAATCAAGGCAAACCACACGGCGGCTGGTGGGGGAAGCCAGCAATTATCTATCCTTCTCGGATCGGATACAATAATTACACCAGCGGCGCGGCTCTTTTGGGGCCAGTGTTGCTAAGACAGGCCACCGTAAAAGACGCGGTGGTACCCTAATACGGATAGTTCAGGACCAGGAACAAGCTGGTCCAGGAAGGGGAAAGGAGGGGATGTACCAATCCTAACACGACCCAAGCTGTCGGGAAGGTTGGGCGTGTCTGTACGGTAATGCGATGGTTCAAGCTCGGAGAAGAATGACACAGTCCACGCCTGGTTTGCAAAGCTCATTCAAGTTTCAACTTTCGAGCGTGTAGATAAAAGAATACAGTAGAACCAGGGCACAATCATGAAAAGATGAAATCTCTCGGAGACTTTTCGAAATATGCACTGACTGTCTGACTTCCATGGCTGGCGATAGTCGTGAACCGCTTCACTAACATAACAACCGAAGCGCCTCCGCGTGGGAGAGGCGTGGGCGTGCACACAACTGCCAGGCGTGGCTGTGGCCGTGGCTCTATACTAGATTTACGACAAGACGGATCAAAGAAGGTCCAACGGAGACGTGCATCCCCGGTCCCAGTCTCTGATATTATCCCAGTCCCCCAATCCCGCCACGCAGAATGCGAGTCCCGGCGCCGTCACCCGCACGTGTGGTGTGTGTTGTAGAATAATCTTTGGCCTTATTTGCATGGGATACGATGGGCCTGGGCTATGACTTGCGGATACTAGCGCAGGTGTTGAGCGATGCCAGGTCACTGGCCATCGACACCAGCAGCATTGCGGGTACATCATGGTGTGGGAACCAGCCCAACGGCTCTCATTGTGCATACTCCTCCCCAGTAGAGAGTAACCCGTACGGTGCAATACAGTACGGGCCTATGTAGGTATGTTGCAACACCGGTGCTTGATGATGATCCTCTATGCAGACTCTGGACGTTCACAGTGACAGGGCCCAGGGGGCATGTATTGCCGGGCACCGGGGGACGGGGCCGGGTGGGCGTGGCAGCCCAGAGTCTGGGTCTGGGTCTGGGGTGTGGTGTGTGGCTGAGGAGATGATGACTGACGGCTGATGGCTCCCCACAGCCTAGGATGCCAGACGCCGGCGTTGCAGCAGGCGACCAGCGGGTTGTGGGATGACTCCAGAAAGCCGCGCGCGACGACGGGACGGCAACAGACTAGACAAGACAATCTCCAAAAATGGGGGCACTACCTGTCATGATTCAGCCCAAAATGCTCCATGACAAGAGTCAGGTAATAACCAAAGAGTGGCGCTTTGCGTCAGCCATAGATCCCTGATTCAGATTTGGAGACAAAGCGTCCCAGGTCAGCTTCAGCAGCTGAGTATGTAATAAACAGTCAAGACGATGCCATGGCAGTTTCAGCGACAGTCAGACTGGGAAACACCTTCCTCCCTTGGTAAAATAAAGTCTAGGGACGGTTGATTAGAGAATAATCTCAGGGTTCTCCACGAATAGAGAGTATCAACTCTTCCAGAAAAGACGTCTTTGTAGGGGCGGCCGCCCGCCGCCTGTAGCCGCGCTTAAACGCTTAGAACTCTTTCTCGAACAAGACAAGTATCGAACCTTTTCCCTTTAGATTGCGCGACGCAAACCATAGTCAAGAGCCGTTAGTCTTGGCACCATGAAGAATGTCCTCAACTCGGGTGGCGTATGTGCAAAGACTTTAATTGCTGGGGTGCTGTGGCGTTCTCGGCAGAAGTGTTGGAGCATGTCACACAAAGACACATGCCTCCTGTCAGCAACTGCTTGTGCTTCACCATGACCATCCATGTACCGGCAGGCAACGGACAGTAATATCGCCAAACATAGTCGTTGCGAGGATTCGGACTTGTCGCAAGGTCAAATTAGGATACGCGAAAACGCTGCACAGGATATGCCACTATAATTCAGTTCAAGCGACCCTACTGAGTTGGTCATCAATCTCTCAGCAGATGGATCCATACTAAAATGGATCGTTTGAGGGATGTGTGGCCACTATCAGAATAGAATGAGGGTCTATTATCAAAGTAGAAATGCTTGCGACACTGGGCGTTTTTTGGAAAGGGGAAGTGCCGTGGATATGACGCATGGTTTAATAAGCTCGACGGCAGAGGCGTTTTCGATGCATTTCTTGTCGCTTATGCCCAGGGCTGCGCCAAGCGAGACGGCACGCAGTGGCCTCTGTCGTCTCTACTCAGGGCCACCATCAGCTGAGGGAGTCCTTAAATCGGCAAACAAACGGCGACGCATTGACCTCGGACACTTTATTTCAACTCAATATCCCGGCGGCACTGTCGTAAATCCAAACGCGGCGTCCTCTGGTGCCTTCGCCTGGCCTGATGTGCCTGTAAATTGGGAGTAAAATACCAAATGCTTGAGCAAAAGTCGCAATCTTTGATGTCTCCTCGTCACAAGAGCCTGGCTGACGATAATGCCCGACTAGCGGGCATTCGAAGGTCATGTAGATGCAGAATCGCTGATTGGTGGTGCGATATGTGGACTGTAATACCACTGACTGATGTTGGTAAGACGTTCAAAAAGAGTAACAAATGTTGGCTCCCCTAGTAGAAACAAGATGAATCCTGTATCCGACGGGTTCTTGACCCGAACCGCACGCTTAGCATACCTGAACGTTTGAGACGCAGGCATAAACTGTTGACCAGCTGTTTCGCCCAGCCTCATTCTGTATAGTCCTTTATGGCAGAACAATATAAGAATGCTGAGCGTGCTGAATAGCGCAAGCTCCTAGTGCGTAGATGATCTATTGCCCCAGATTCGCAGGGCTGGAGGGCCAAGCTCACCAGCCAGAAGCTTGAACTAATATGATTATTGCCATTTTTAACACCATACTTGACAAGACGCTCGGCATACCTAATTGAGGGATCCTTCCTGAGATAACGCCAGCAAAGATAGTATTGCCAAGCCTTGTAATACGGGGGTCCTCAGAGCTCTTGACACTCGACACTACCGAATTTGGCAAGCTGCATGTTCGGCTACCAGGTCGGAAAACGGTGAGCTGGAGTTGGAGTCCGAGTCGTCAGGACACATAGCCTACATGACACAAGCATCTTCCCATGCTGGTATCGTTTGGGGCGTCATAGGGCGACCTGCCGTTGCGAGAGCATAGCACATTTTATATCTGAATGCGCTCTGTACAAGAAATAAGAGCTGGAGGGTTCCATTGAGTAGCAGGATGTTTTGCGTCTACCCCTCATGCGCGGTTATTCTTTCTCGGGAGGCTGCCAAAACTCTCGTCGATCTCCAGGGCGGGACGATAAACTTTGTCGTAGCGGGTTTGCAGAGCCTCTGCACAACTGTGGCACCGTGGTCCTATCGAGAGCTTCCTGGGGAGATTTTGCTTTTCGCGCAGTGCCGGCCTTTGACCCTAGATCGTTGGTCCCCGGATCCACGGTATGACGTCTTGGCTGCGTGCGGCACATGGTTCCAAAAGGGGAGGTGGCATGTCACGGCAGTCGTACGATCTTTTGGCGCTAAATCTTGACCGACACCTCATCGTTTCGCCGTCATTCCAGTCGGTGGTGGAGTAGCGTAGCTTCGGGTATAGGTAGGCGTCCAGATGTGCTGGTCATTCCGGAAATTCCCAGGAGGATCTTGGTATTGCCGTTAGCCTTGCCGTAGTGACTGTGATCAGTGTGATTGGATCTACAGTACGGCAAGTTGTTAGCTCAGAGGCCCAAACGCACACAAAGTAATTGTTCGCCGAAGCAGGATGGGAAAGAGAGATAGGGGAAGAATGAGTAAGCAATGACGAACCGGACCCGAGAGAACGGGTTGCTCCACTCCGATAGTCCCCCTTAGCGGAAATACAAGACGTGTTTGGGGAAATAAGGAGTTGATATCCGCCAACTCCGCAGTTTATTATTCAAGAATCTAATTACCTGTATTGGCAAAGGTAGGACAAAGAGTGGGACACGATGGTCTTGGAAAATGATGAATCTGAATCTAACATCTTGTTTCAAGCCTTGGGGACAAACGCCACCAACGGATGGACTCTCCGAAATCTGCAGGTGCGAATCAACGTTTTTGTGGTTGTAGAAGGCGTACAGGTATCCGTAACAGAGGCAGGTACTGCAGACGTTATGGATGTCACAGTTGCCCTCTGAGGAAGGCACGACGGTGAGTGCAAGTAATAATACCCAAGGCAGTTACCGGGGTATGCCTCCTCGGTAGGTACCTTCCACATTCACTTCTTCTTACTCCGTACCTGCTATTCTACCAACGAGCCTTTGCAGCTGCCAGGACTGCCAACCGGAGACTCGGAAGCACGTGCCACAAGCACAACCTCGTTCACCACTTTACCTCTCGTCCGGAGATTGATGCATGGATAGACGGATGCCGGCCTGTAAACATGTCCCGAAGTCCGCATAAGATAAGTCTAGGTACCTAACTTCGGATATTTTGGGGAAATTTATTCGGAGCTCAGCCACGGTGGCATTGCTTCATTTACAGCATGGGACGGTACAGCACCGTGTTGAAATCATCCTACCTACACCGAAGTGGGTTCAACAAAACAACCTCATGCATTGCGTCAAACCAGAAACACGGCTCAAATATCCAAGCGACATGCGCATGCCGTTGGTTACTATACGTATTAGGCTGCACGATTCCCAGACATTGATTGACCTGATACATATGCAGATGATGTCTGGGACGGTTCCCCCAGGCAGCCA